ATGAACGTGATGTGATCCTCGAAATTCTTGATGATCGGGGCTCTCAAAGAAGCCTCTTGAGCAAGCCTGTCTCCGACCATGTCATAGCGCTGCTCTGTGCTGACTCCGAGGAACCGCTTGGAAACTATCACAAATTAAATGAGCCCGACAGGGACGCAACTTCTAATATCGTGGCCGTCTACCAAACTCTACAGAATTTTAGCACCGGATCTGGATACAGACTATGGGCTGCGAAAGTCATTGGACGTGCTTTTGCTACTACAGGCAAAGTCAATGACACCCTAACCAGGGAGCAAGATCTGTCTCTTTTCGAATCTCAATTACCCGACTTGCACTTAGATGTCCACTGTTATTCTAAAGCTAGCATACTTCAAGAACTATGCAACATGCTACAGAACAACAGCCATCTGGAGGTGGGACTCGTTGAGCGAACATTGCAACTCATCATAAGTAACCTTCCCAGGTATCCGGGCTTTGAACAATGCATCAGTGTCGTACCTCTCTACTTGATGAAAGCTTTCACATGGAGCCCCTATCAGTGCCCACCCATACCAACACTTACTTCAAACACAGAAGGAGATGACCCCAAAGTGAATTGGAAGACAAGCAACCCTTTATCTCAATGGGCTCGCAGTATCGCGTTATTCTTGTCAAAAGCTGCGGCTGAAGATCCTGTGGTTGGGTCACTAAGCCACATTCTCTATGTTATCCCTGAATTAGCCGTCCAAATCCTACCATACATGCTTCATGATGTTCTGCTTGCAGAATTCCAAGGAGAAGCAGTTATCAGACAGGAGGTTTCCCAAATTTTCAAACAAGCTCTGTGTGATGTTCATGACACTACTATCTCACATGCACGGCTTGCAATCAACTGCATTCTATATCTTCGAAACCAGCCGAAACCTAATGAGGCGACAATAGTAGAACGTGATGAATGGCTGGAGATAGACTTCGCAGAGGCATCGTTGGCTGCCAGTAGGTGCCGTTTACCGAAGACAGCACTCCTCTTCCTTGAGATACATGCATCTCGTGTAATCTCTGGCTCTCGCCGTTCCTCGCTGGCCAAATACGAAGCTCCCTCGGACATGTTGCATGGAATATTCAAGGACATAGATGACCCTGATTCCTTCTACGGAATCCAACAAAGCCCCTCCCTGGACTCGGTTATGGAAAGGCTCCAACATGAAAGCTCAGGGTTTAAGAATCTCCTCTTCCAAAGCGCACAGTACGATAGCGAGATACAGATGTCAGCAGACCCGAACGCCTATGGTGTTCTTAAGGCACTCAACTCGACAAATCTACAGGGAATTGCTAATTCCATATTCTCGGCGTCTGGGTGGGGTTTCAATGACAGATCAAGTTCATTTGATAGCATGCTGCAAGCCGCAACAAATTTACGACAATGGGATATACCCGTCTCGCCCTTGAATCCTTCACCTTCCGCAACCGTCTTCCGGGCTTTCCAAAGTCTCAACACGTCAGGGAGCCTGATTGATGCCTCTAAGTCTATCAACGAGTGTCTGTTGACAACTTTGGAGTCTCTTACGAGCACCAGCCAGTCTGCTATGTCTTTACGAACTGCGATGAGGGTTCTTGGGATTATTACTGAAGTCAGTGACGTTTTGGACGCCAGATCAACGCAAGAAATAAACAATGAGTGGCAGGATATCGCTGCCAGGGACTCTTGGCTGAAGACCACCAGGTATGGAACAGATACTCTGCAAAACAATCATACGTCTAACTCAGGTAGTGTTCATGAGATTGGTGAGATACTAAACTCACATGAAGCCCTCTTCTCATCGATCAACCGAAAGGCTTATTTAAGATCTTCGACCAATATAAGCGATCATGACGCACAGCTTCTGGAGGTCAAAGCCATTCGGCAATCACTTCATATCACAAGAGCCCAGGGCATCCAGCAAGCTTCTCTGAAATCGGCCGTGTGCCTCTCTAAGCTCGCACACCACTGCTCTACACTAGGGATCAACATTGAAGGGGCCGCCAAGTTCGATCTAGCTAATGTTTTATGGGACCAAGGTGAAATGACTGTATCAATTCGAATGCTTCACCATCTCAAGGATCAAAATGACCTACATAAACAGGCGGTACCAATCAGCCGTGCAGAACTTCTCGTGACTTTGGTAAGCTCTCTCTATATTAACTCCTTTCATACAAAACTCTGCTCGTTCCAGGCTAATTTATTGCTTGTAAGGGCCACCATGTCGCTGAGGCACGCCTCGAGAAACCAGAGATTATCATCCAAGACTATTTATTAGCCGCAGTCAAGGAGCTAAAAGGCCGCTCGGGGGGTGAAGAAGCCGGGAGAGTTTATCACGGATTTGCCACATTCTGCGACCAACAATTACAGAACCCCGATGGTTTGGAAGATTTTACGCGAGTTGAGCAACTACGTAACCGTAAGGAGAAGGAAGTGCAAGCATTGGAAGATATGATGAAGGCTGCTGAGGGAAGGGAGAGGGAGGCTCTGAAATTTCATCGAACAAAGACAAAGCAGTGGTTTGATCTTGATGACCGTGAATACCAACGTCTGCGACGAAGTCGGGAAGCCTTCCTACAACAATGTCTCGAGAACTATCTCCTTTGCTTAAGAGAGAGCGAAACTTACAACAATGACGTCCTCCGCTTCTGTGCACTGTGGCTTGACAAGTCTGACAGTGATATCGCCAATGCGGCTGTTTCCAAGCATCTCGGTCAAGTTCCAAGCCGAAAATTTGCCCCCTTGATGAATCAGTTAACCTCGCGCCTGCTGGATGTGCCTGATGAGTTCCAGAAGATGCTCTTCTCTCTGATTACTCGCATTTGTGTTGAGCACCCATTCCATGGTATGTATCAAATATTTGCGAGCAGTAAGTCCAAGGGAGGAAAGGATGAATCAGCGCTATCACGCAATCGAGCAGCCGGACGATTAGTTGAAGGCCTAAAGAATGACAAGCATATTGGGCCGACATGGGTCGCTGTTCACAACACTAATATCAGTTATGTACGATTTGCCATTGATAGGCTAGATGAAAAATTGAAGAGCGGTGCCAGGGTTCCGCTGCGGAAACTCCAAACTGGCGCACGCCTCGAACAGGATGCCGCAACACAGAAACTACCACCACCCACAATGAACATTGAAATCAGAGTTGATTGCGATTATAGTGATGTACCGAAGCTTGTTAGGTACCACCCTGAGTTCACTATCGCATCCGGCGTCAGTGCGCCAAAGATCGTCTCGGCTTATGCAAGTAATGGTTTACGGTACAAGCAGTTGGTAAGCATTGAGCATCGATTGATATGGCATCTGGAGCGAATGGTAGGCTAACAATACCGGAAGTTCAAAGGAGGGAATGATGATTTGCGGCAAGACGCTATCATGGAACAAGTATTTGAACAAGTTAGCAATCTTCTTAAGGACCATCAGGCTACTCGGCAGCGGAATCTGGGAATTCGCACATACAAGGTTTTGCCTCTTACGTCGAATGCGGGAATAATCGAATTCGTGCCATACACCATCCCTTTGCATGATTATCTGATGCCTGCACATCAAAAATACTATCCGAAGGACATGAAACCAAACGTTTGCCGCAAGCACATCAGCGATGTTCAGACACGATCACTTGAGCAACGCGTTAGGACATACCGACAGGTTACTGAACACTTCCATCCTGTTATGAAATACTTCTTCATGGAAAAGTTTAACAATCCAGACGACTGGTTTAGCAAAAGGCTTTCGTATACTCGAAGCACGGCTGCCATCTCAATCTTGGGTCATGTTCTCGGTCTCGGCGATCGCCATGGCCATAATATCTTGCTAGATGAGAGGACTGGCGAAGTGGTCCATATCGACTTGGGAGTTGCATTCGAACAAGGCCGAGTGCTTCCGGTTCCCGAAGTCGTTCCATTCCGTTTGACACGAGACCTTGTCGATGGAATGGGAATTACCAAGACCGAGGGTGTCTTCCGCCGCTGTTGCGAGTTCACGCTTGAAACCTTACGACGAGAGTCTTACAGTATCATGACTATCCTTGACGTGCTTCGTTACGATCCACTTTACAGCTGGACTGTGTCTCCTTTGAGGATGATGAAGATGCAAGACGCCCCCGAAGCCGGGGGCGGGCCTCCCATGCTGCCCGGTGCTGCCGACCAACGGCCAAGCAATGAACCAAGCGAGGCCGATCGTGCGTTGACGGTTGTAGCAAAGAAGTTGGGCAAGACATTGAGTGTTACGGCTACTGTAAATGAGCTGATCCAGCAAGCAACCGATGAAAAGAATCTGGCCGTCCTGTATTGCGGTATGTTCTGTATAACGTTACCCTAAACCGGTTGTACCGAGATGCTAACAAACTTCATCTCCCTAGGTTGGGCTGCCTATGCTTAATGCGATGATACAAATTAATAGTGCGGCTGTGTGTTGTTGGCTTCTTACGGATGAACGATATATTTGGCTTATGGGGTTCGGTCTTACGCTGCGTTTCTAGTAGCTTACGTATGAGTATTCATACTAAAAGTTTTACATACTTCGTGTATATATATATATATATAGCGATCCTCTATGGCACATTTGATTCTAATTAATGTGAGAGCAAAACCTCAACATCTCCATGGATAGAACTGCCTAGTGGAGAGACAAAGTGAGATACCTACTGCCAGCCTCCTTTTGAATGGGAAAAAGAAAAGAAAGGGAAGAAGTTTGTTTGAGGCACAGAGAATATCAGAGTAGATATAGCAAAGAACAGACACAAAAAGAAAAAGAATGGTCCCAGAGAGGCTCGAACTCTCGACTTCTGAGTTATTAGCTCAGCACTCTAACCGACTGAGTTATGGGACCCAGTTGTTGAGGAATGGCTGCCTTAAATGCTTTCATAATCCAGAAGTCTAGTATTCTTAGGTTACATCTTAGGGCACGGTATCCAATGATGGCCTCGGCTCGGCTCCATTATCAGTGACCTTTTCTCCCCAAAACCTACATTACTGGCAGACGTCTCACTTTCTCTTACTTCTTCTCCACTGTAGTCCGTACCTGAGAATTCATGACCACGTGCCCCAGAGCAGTCAATCATATAGTTCCAACCGCCTCCAACATAGGCATGTTCTATTTTCTGCCTTTCAATCGAGGAACTACATACCCTACGGAGTCTTGGCTAATGACATCTGGCCAGGTTGCGAAATGATATTTATAGTATCCGTGGCCTTGAAATGTGGAACTTGATATTACGGCCAGACTTTGAGTATATAAGTGATCGTGCCTGCTTACTCGTGAGGCACTTATATCTCCACTTCGCTAGTTGCTGCTTCACCGTTTGATCGTCGCTGCCAAGGCTCCTAAGTATGTCGACTACTTCCACCCCCAACAGGGGTATTGCAGTCTTTTCGGGAGGCAGTGCTGCCAACAATCTAGTCGAGGTATTCGACACAGTGCGCGACACCAAGAACTGCCCACTGAGCTATATTATTCCCATTAGTGACAACGGAGGTTCCTCATCGGAGCTGATCCGCATCTTTGGGGGTCCAGGAATTGGCGATGTGAGAAGTAAGCATTCACCCACTCTTGTTATTCTCTGTTCTAACGAACAAGCACAGGTAGACTGGTCCGTCTGATTCCAGACTCGCCCCCGAATTCCGAACGGGGTGCCATAAAGACTCTCTTCAATCATCGACTGTCAGCGCACGCAGCCACCGCCCACGCAGAATGGCTCTCCATCGTAGATGGCACATCGACGCTCTGGCAAGCCATTACGCCAGCAAAGAAAGAACTCATACGCTCTTTCTTCAACCTTCTTAACCTGGAGATCCTAAAGCGTGCCCGGCCCCCATCATCAACCTTCGACTTCACCTCTGCCAGCGTAGGCAATCTCTTCCTAACCGGCGCCCGCCTATTCAGCGGCAGCTTCGAAAGCGCCATCTACCTCCTCGGTAGCATCTGCGGCGTACCATCCGACACAGTCCGCGTAATCCCAGCCATCAACTCCAACTTCTCCCACCACATCTCCGCCTCCCTCGCGAATGGCTCCGTCATCGTCGGCCAGAACAGCATCTCCCACCCCAGCGAAGCAACAGCCCTCCAGCCCCGCCCCAGACGCCCAAGCCTACTGCTCGCGGACGGCGCGGACGACTTCACAGATACCGACACCTCCGACACGCACTCCTACGAAGACGACCACCCACCAGGCTCGCTGCCCACCCTGCGCAACAAAAACATCCAATTCTCCAAATCCGAAAACGAGGATCTCCCCTCCCGCATCACCCGCATCTGGTACATCAACCCCTACGGCCAGGAAATCCGACCACCGGCCAATCCCCGCGTCCTCGAAACCATCCGTGATTCGCAGGCCATCATCTACAGCATCGGCTCCCTCTACACGTCTCTCATCCCGTCTCTGATCCTGCGCGGCGTGGGACAGGCCATCGTGACGAGTCCCGCTCGACATAAGATTCTGATCCTGAACGGGTCCCTAGACCGAGAAACGGGCCCCCAGTCTGAACCTTTCACGGCGGTGAACTTCGTCGAGGCGATCACTCGCGCCGGGGAGGAAAGTCGTGGTCGCATGGCTCTTTCTGCCTCGAATACTAGTACTCATAGGTCCATTCCAGGTCTGGGTCTTCCTTATTCGTCGTATGTCACGCATCTTCTTCACCTGGAGGGTCCTGGGACGCCACAGGTAGATCGTGAACGGCTCGCTGAGATGGGGATCGAGACGCTTCGTCTTTACGGGAGGAAGATCGTCACGACGGATGCGGGTGGTGCTGAGACGCCTGTTGGAATGAAGTATGATGCCACGGCTTTGGTCCAGGCTCTTGAGGTGGTGCTTGGTAAGAAGGGTGATGCGATGCTTCGGGGTGGGGAGAAGAATGGCTTAAGCCGAAGGAATACATTAGATCCTGGGAGGAAGAGATAGATGAATTTTCCCTTGATATATGGGTAAATTCATGGCGCAATATATGTGGTGGGCTTCTGTTTTCTGTAGATTAAGTCTGATTAGATCTTTCTTTGGTAGAGGATGGAGCGGGAGAACTTCTACAGTGTATTAACTGTCTTGATTATATGTATTTTCTTTTTCCAGAAATTATGTACAGTATTATAGCATCACAATCAACATGTCTTATCGTAGACAACACATAATGTAAGATGGATACTTCGTACCACCCGAAACAGCCAGATGAGACGCCACCCAATGCTTCCCCAACCAGGTCTAACTAGGAATACAAGAAAGTAGAGAAGGGACAAAAAATAACAAGAAAGCATCATGTCCAGACCCGAATAGATCAGGTTATATATACATAGAATAAGGGAAAGAGGGAAGTGGTTGACGAAATTATCGGGCCAAAGCATTCATGCCCGAGCAGATGGCCGGGATTTCCAGTTTTGTCGGTTCAAGTTGACCTGGGGATGCCTGCTCCCCGGAGGAAGATCATGAAAGTCACTGTAAAGACCCGACCCGACGTCGACTAGAATGGCCTTCTGAGGCTGTGCTGTACAGGATTTGGCAGACTTAGCACGATCACTTTGAGAACGTGCCTTCGATGACGGTCCGGAAGCAGATTTGGCCTTGGTAACTTCTTTGATGATTTCCCGAAGTTCCTTATCATCCTTGGTGATCTGGGCTCTGATAAATGCAGGGTTATCTGTGGACTGAAGAGTGGACATCACGGACTCTCGTGGTATGTATGTATAGTTCTGAGGAGAGGGAGGGGAGTTCGGGATGATCGAAGGGTCTAGACAAGCAGCCTCATTCTTCTCCAGAAGTTGGACGATATCTAGACTTTCGCCGTGTGGGATCTTGTGTTGATGCGAAGGGGTAACGCAATCCATGTCTACTTCTTTCCGAAGAACATGGTCAATGTCAACTGCAGAGAAGTAGGCGCAAGACTGAGGGAGGTCATTGATGCCAACTTGCTGCGAGAACATGGCTCGAGTCCAGACATTAGCTACCTGTAGAGCCAAAGCAGCGCGATATTTGTCCTCATCTTTGACAAGATATCGGATTTCATCATGGACAGTGATCGCTAGACGAGCAGCGATGTTGAAGCGCCGGATTAGGTAGTCCATGGCGATAATGAGGAGGTGAAGATAATCAACACCAGATGACTGAATTGCCCAGTTGATCCGCGATGTCATGAAGCTGCCTCGGTTGATAAAACGCCGCATTAACGCCTCTGTGATGCCGGCACCCAATGTAGGCGTTCTCGGTCTCTCTTGATCAGCAAACTCCTCTAGCTTGTTAAAGACAAAAGATTCCGTGCCTCCCCGCCAAAAGGGGCTATCACTTAGAATGCGACGTGTCGTACGTGCACCCTTCGTCTCTTGATACAGCTTGGTCGCAACTTCCTGGGTTTGCTTTTCTGACATGGAAGGGTTGAACTGACGCAATAATGAAGCGGCAAATTTTACGCCAGCGCCGTAGATTCGGCCATAGTTGAAAACCTTGGCATCGTTGCGCGAAATCCCTAGAATTTTGGCAGTGCGTGAGTGCATATCGGTTCCTGCTGCCTTGGATCCCTCCAAAGTCATGAAACCGATCGCATTACCACCGTGAATCTGAAATTGCGCATCGCCGATAAGACTCGCGATCCAGAGCTCCTGTGAGTCAACATCTGCGCCAACAAAGACATAGCCGGGTGGCGCCTTGATCATGGCTTTAAGTTCAGATCCAACACGATTTTCCTTAGCGTTGCTTGCAGTAAGCCATGTGTTTTCGACGGCTCGTCGCGTAATAGTACCCATTGGTATTACTTGAGGCAAGATAAATCCTGTCCTGCTCTCTGCATTGCTCGAGTGAGATTTTTGCACCTCATCCTCGTAGACAACCATCTGCCCCATGATTCGATCCCGAGCGCTGATCCAATATGAACAAGAAGCATTCATCTCCAAAGCTTCCTTGGCCAGCGCATATTGAGAAGAGAGAGTCCCACGTTCGAAATACTGCATGTATCCTTTGGCCAGCGGATTAACACACCGGGCCTGCGGTCCATCCTTGTGTGGAAGTTTGAAGTAGACATGTCTTCTGTCGTCCCGTAATGCCGCTATTTTCTCTTCCGTCATATCACAGAGGACTACAGGCTGGTTCTCAAATTTCTTGACCTGATCTCGTGGAACCTTAAACGTCCAGCCGTGTTTATCGGACCAAGTTAGTGGATATCCATCCCATGATAGCTTGAGTAATATAGGCGCAGTTCGACTTCGCACAGTAAGATTGATATCGGCTGTGTTGGTGGCAAAGAGATCTTTGTACCATTTTGGCATACCCGGCTTCTTCTGCCTCGCAGCTGGTCGAGGAGGATCTCCTTTCTTTTTTCCTTTGGCCATTTTGATCTCCTGGCCAGACCAGTCCAGCTGTCGTAGCCAGGGATCTTCCATATACACATCCGGTTGGTCCTTGACCTTCAAGGCTTCGTCACATAGTTCAACTAACTTTCTTTGCACGCCATCAAGTCGTTGGTGGTAGGTTGCCTCGGCATTGGTAATGTAGTCCTTCCAGGTCTGATTGACTGGCAAAATAACCGAAGAAAGATGCCTGAGAGCCCCAAAACTGACTGGGTGGGGACAGACTTTAAGGAAATTTGGGAAAACCTTCTTATAAACGCGATGGGTGATGGCAACATCTGCAGCACAGTAATCCAGTAGCTCATCCACTTTCTCTAGAATCCCTTCTCTTGAGAGTTCGCCGAAATCATCTCGTTGCGCCTTGTCGATCGTGACATCACAATGAAATTTGGCAACGTCGCGGAGGGAGTTCACCGAGCTCCGTCCTACCCATAGTTCCTCTTCCTCGTCGCTGAGCATTTTGCTTTCAAGAAGAGCTGCAAGCTCGACGGAGTTATTCTCATTCGCAATCTTGTCTCTCAAGTCCCTATTCTTCTTGTGGCGCATCCAAGTAGGTCTCTGTTGGGAACACATCCCATTCACAGCTACATGCAGCGACATCGTATCGAGAAAGAAATTACGCGTCTGTTTCATATCGTACTCTTCCAATACGCGGGCGCGATCATAGCCGATATTGTGGCCCACGACAATGCGCGGCTGTGAGATGTCTCCCAACGGTATGAGCTGAATATGGTTGTCCGATTCCCCCAGCAGCCAGGGCGACAGCCACGCATACCAGGCTGTAGGACTGACAGCACAAGCCATTACAGCAAAGGAATGCTCTTTCCACATCACCTCCGTATCGAAAGTTAACATTGACTCATTCGGGGCATCCACGGGCTCTGAAGAGCCGTCACTATAATATTTCGTCCAACCACTGCGTTTGACCCAATTGCGTGGAATGCTCGGAGAGTTAACTTGGATATAATCCTTAGCATATGTAAGATAAGGCTCTGACGCATCCATGCCTAACTTGAAAAAATGCTCATCTAACGTCTGCCCCTGGAGAGGAGGCATATCGAACGCTACCGGTTCCGTGGCATCTTGAGATTTGCCGAGCAGGTCATGCCTCGAGAGATGCTCTTTCGACAACGCAACCAATTCTGGGTTTGGCGGTTCCGATTTGACCGGAAAAACTTGTGAAAATACATGGTCGCTCAATTGTTGGACTCCGATCTCATTGAACCTAGCCGTGGAGGGAACTGCGGAATCAACATCTGCGCTTATCGGTCACAAATCATGGAGCAATGCGAAAGTACCTGAAAGAGATCCCTGTCTAGGTTTGGAGTCATCTTCCTGCGTAGGTACCTGCGAAAAGTAATACCGCGCGAGTGATAATGGCCGTGGCGTGGAGATGAGTGGCGAGCGCAATTTTTGCGAGCAGGAACGTATAACACCCCTAGAATAGGGAGTGCAAGAATGACTCCAAAGCATCTTAGGTCGTGTAGGAGATCGATTTAAATAAGCCCATGGCTTGATGCGCTGATGCTCGCAGCCGGTGCTGCGCGAAACTGATGTGAAGGGGCTTCCTCTTTTTGGTGTTCCCAAGGATTTGTACATTCTTTCCTATCGCGGTATCGCCGTCATGATGATACGCGGACGGAATATACTATATTCCGTATCAGCTTCACCGCCTGCCATGATAGGATGTTCCTTTGCTTGTTATCATCAGGTGATTGATAATCAACACCGCCGATAACTAAACCCCGGCTGCAGATCCTCGCCACTATCAGTGCTTATGTCTAAGACAGCCTATCTCACCTGCGCCTGACATATGTCTCATTTGTGTCTCAGGTTTGGGAATACTTTCATCAAATCTAAGCTTGCATATCAGCTGGTTGTTCAGCTTTAAAGGCCTGCGTTTACCGATTTACGATACTTCCCGAGCCGCAGAAGACTCGTATTCGCGACACTCCAGTATTCTATTCCCACATCCTTGGATACCGCTTTTAGAGCCATGAATCGAAGTTACTCACACCACGTTCCGTTACATTCCAGCTCTCATACTATACAAGTGTCCCCTCCTCGTCGCCCGCGACCCTCCGACCATGTTGAGTCGTTAGAAACCCGAGGCGAGGAACGAAAACGTCGTCGTCTGAGTAGCTCTAATGTAGCAACTAGAGATGCTCAATCTGCACTGGATCAACACGAAGATGACATTGAATCCATTGATTTAACAGAGGCGGAGGGTCCCCCAGCATTAGCGAAGGTGTTAGCGAAGCAACGGGAGGACGCTGTTAGGGCCCAACAATCCGTTGAGCCAGCGAAGGGGCAATCAATACTAAACTCATATAAGTGTCCTGTATGTATGGATACACCGGAGGATGCCACTAGTACAATATGCGGTAAATATCACACTTGAAATGGGATATTATTTGTGCTGACTGGTGCACATAGGGCACCTCTTCTGCCACAAATGCATCATCGATACATTGAAATTCAGCGAAGAACAAAGAGCAGATACCTCTTCAAAAGGTCCTCGAGGGACCTGCCCCGTGTGCAGAAAACCTCTTGCACGGAACGACTCCCCAGGCCCCAAAAGAAATCTTGTACCTTTGCAACTCAAGCTCGTTACGAAGAAGAAGGATACAACTGTGCCGAGTAATGTATAATTCCGTACGCCAGCTCTGTGCCATGTGGGATGATACCGAACCCACCCCCCCGGCATTGATGTGCGGATTGTTGAACGCATATGTTGCACATGGCTATTGAGCGTGGTGTATTATCCCAGCGACCAGGAAACCTCTTGGTTTCCGAAGGTCTCTTACTTGACTGACGACATTCTTGGTCATATAGAGATTTCTTCTCCATTCATAACAGCCCCGCAGAATGGAACATTACCATATAGTACTACGTATATTGGAAACGTCCTCATATACCAAGCTCAGCTGTTAATGATTGACGACGATGACATTCACATTGGGAGAGTATTGTATCTTATAGATAATAACTAAGAAGAAGTGACGCTAGGCTAGGACAGTTGGCAGTTAGTCGGCCTTACGCGAAACACTTAATAATCAGACAAAGGTTGTCCTATCAACATATCTTGCATGAGGCATTAATGAATTATGAGAGCATGAGCGGCATTGGTTCATTTCTGCTTCTCTAACTCCAGAGATTATCGTTCTGTGTTCTCACAATTCATTTTATATTATTTTTCTTCCTTAATAAACTGGAGACTAGTGGAAATTCCCCCAACCACAATTGTTCGTATAGCCACGGGCCATAGCGCCGAAATCTAACCTTATCCGAGTTGAGGTCTATCTTTTTTTTGCTCGTTTTTCTCCCCTCACCTTTAATAGCAACTACCTCTTGTCCTCGAAAAACAAGCCCCTGCTTCGTATATACTCCATCCGGGGAATTTGCAGGGTCTAGGCACAAATTTAAGTTATGCCAAGAGTGGATGGCACCCGCAGCGAGACTAAAAAACATTAAATTTCCCTTGAAGATATGAACCCGGCTTTAACCACATTTCACGGAAAGCTTAGAGATTCTGGAAATTGCTTGAAATCCCTTCATTCTATACTGAGAGCGAGGAGTAAGCGCTCGGGGCCAAGTGTTTTCTATACCCTTGAGGTTCAAGCCTTGAAAGCTTCGCAGTCCCTAGTGGACAATTGAACCAACTCCTTTTGCAAACGTCATAATATCCACCTCGCCATGACTTCTTCCCCTCACCCTGCGCGCAATCCAACATACTGAGAGGGCGCCCATACTCGTTCGATGTTGACCTTATATATACACGAAATTAATGTCATTGGCAGTGCAATCTGTTTATTCAATCCACTGTCTGCTCCTTCCGTATCTGAGAGACGTGCGACTCTCCTTGCAGCGACTGGCTATTTGCGCTTTTGCGTTGATGTTCCCGCCTCCGTTTTTTTGTTCTTTCTTTCTTTTCTTTCCCTTCCTCTCTTTCTTCCAGCTGAAATACACAGGCCCCTTTCGTCAAAATGAGTAGGATCTCACTTGAACGTACAGAAACCACAGAGCTGCCATCCAATTCTCATGATATTGAGGCGCATCCGCAAACTTCGCCAACTACTGCGGAGCCAGCTGGCCTCGAGTCATTCCCCACGGTGACTAAGGGCCCGTCAAATGACACGGTTCGGAATCGTGCACGGAGGTCAAATACGGCGCGCTCATACCACCCTGACAATGTCACTCATGACCCCAACTGGCATCCGGGCACGGAGCCTGGCATAGACCCGACCAAACCGCTCCCGCCTTACAATGCGGATTGGGCGACTGCTGTACCAAGTAACCTATTCACAAGGTGTGAGATCATTGTCGTGGACTTCTCCCAGAATGAGATGCGACAATATGAGCTTGACAACGATACCTTGGAACAGTTTCTGGCCAGGGAGAGGGAGCCCTGGGTGCAATGCAGATGGATCAACGTAAATGGTCTCAGCTGGGATGTAATTCGAGTTCTGGGAAATCAGAAAGGCATACACAGGCTTGCCATCGAGGACTTGATCAACACGACAAATCGTACCAAAGTTGACTGGTATTCGGACCATGCATATATTGTGCTCACATTACAGAAATTAGTCCGAATCTATGAAGAAACTAGTAGTGACTCGGATGAAGAGTCTGACCAGGGTCAATGGGAAAACGACCGAAGGGGCTCAGCAACAAGCAGCAAGAGTGTGTCTCTGAAGCGAGCAACTACCTTGAGTCTCATTACGGAGGCATTGAAAGACCTTTTCAGGCTGAAATCACGAAAGCGAGACCCAAGTAGTGATCCCAACTTAGGCGCAAATATTCGTCCTTCTATGAAGAAAGCCGAATCCACCACTATGTTCGACGATGCCTCAAATGCTGGGCGAACTGCTCGCAGTATGCAGCGGTATCGAGGTGGACCAAACGAAGACCGCATCGAATTCATGGAGCGACATGCTGTGCTAGCGGCGAAGGGGCTATCAGTCGCTTTAGAGCAGGTATCGATATTCTTACACGCGGATAACACCGTGACATCCTTCTTCGAGACAAGTGCCGACGACATCGAATCACCTATTGTCAAACGGTTGACTTCTCCTGAAACTATATTGCGTCAATCATGTGATGCGAGCATGCTTGTGCAAGCAATCCTGGATGCTATCATTGACCTTGCAATCCCAGTGACCACAGCTTACCAAGATGCCATCGGCGACCTGGAACTTGACGTCTTGACTGATCCTGATATCGATCAGTCTAAGGACCTCTATATCCTAACATCCGAGATTTCAATCCTTCGAAATTCTATGCAACCTATCGTAACCATCATCAACGCGCTTCGAGATCATCGCTCTGAACCTATCAGTACCCCCGGACTGGGTGTACTGAAGAATTACTTTGGGCCCACAAATTCCTCAGACCCGGCGCCATATATAGGAGTCGCTACACCGAATCTCAAAAGTGTAGGTGGCTCCAGCGTCTCTATCAGTACCATGTGTCATACGTACTTGGGCGATGCGCTCGACCACTGCATTACAATAGTCGAAGGATACGACCAGATGAGACGGGCTGCTGACAACATGATCGATCTTATCTTTAACACCATTGGTATATTGCCTCGCATTTTCATCATGCTTCGTATGGCTGACTGTGTTATCCACAACCAGGTGCATATCAGAACGAAAGCATGAAGCAGTTGACTCTCGTGTCTTGCTTCTTTCTCCCTCTCACTTTCCTGTCGGTTCGTACTCACCTTGCTTTTAGTACCAAACTGTATTTGTTACTGACTGCAAGCTAGGGATATTTCGGTATGAATTTCGAAAGTTTCAATGGCATTAAGCACAGCGATGCGTACGTGATTAGATATCTAATATGAATGGCCGCGACATACTAACCATCGATCTTTTAGATACTTTTGGCAAATTGCGTGTCCCTTTGTATTCGCCATTACCGTATTCTTAATGTAACAACCCAAGCCAGTAGCTCGCTGGAATGATGCTAACTGCAGACTCTAGGCGCGACAAGATCGTACGCTGGACGGCGCGGCTAGCCCAAAAACGTCTCATCACCAGCTCGAGGAAGAGACGAAAGCGAGACGCCATAAGGAGACGATGAAAACTATTGAGCAGTAATCGCTCCATCGAAGTATCGTATAGAAAAAGAGTACATAATTAGAGCCGGGATGGACATGTTAGATATACATAAACTTGTATAGTACACTTGGATCAGTATCATACACTATATACTACAGACTTTTCCGTTTAAAAGCCATATAGGCTTTCCAGGGTAGTTTCCAATCCGAGCGAAGAAGCTCAGGCCTAAAGATATCAAAATCGACACCCTGCAGCCTATCCAGCCACAGACGTGTACCAACTGCAGGCATGAAGACACCGAATGCACGGTTAACCTCATCCAACGGCGATTCCTGCCGCTGATCACCCAAGGCCTCATACTCATGCCCCTCCTCGCCCTCATGCTCAAAGTCATGCCCCACATCTTGTCCAGCACGCAGGTTACTCAACATCTGCTGAACAGTAATCAAATGATCACTTGCCCGCGTTGCAACCGTAAAGACTGCATCCCGCAGCCCAGGCGCCTCAGCCCCAAGCCTAAACACCTCTTCCTCCTTCACCCCCGCTTGCGCCATAACATCCAGCGGAAGCATTACAGCCCCCTGCCTCGCCGCGCCGCCAGCTTGCTGACCACCCTGCTGACCCACCGCACGCGCCGCAGGAAACGCAACCAACGGCAACCCCCGCAGAACAGCCACAATGCCCGCCGCCTTCCCCACATGCGATGCGACATGATCCGCCGTAACAGAGGCCATGGGCAACGCCGAGAGCGTCAGATACATGAGCGTGGAATACGTACTCTCGGCGTAGGACTCCAGGGCCGCGATATCGGGGTACGGGTCATTCGTTAGGCCGCGTTCGCGGGCGCTAATAAGTCGCGTTAACCAGCCTTTGCTGATGCGGGCGTGGCCGTTGGTTCGCTCGTGGAGGTCTGCGATGGCGGAGGAGAGGAGGATGGCGATGGGTTCTTTGGGCGGAGTGCCGGCGAGGATCTTTGCGATCGATTCGCGCCAGAACTGGAGGCGCATGAGGCCGATTGTGTGGGAGCTTGTTGTTTCGGGGATCATCGAGAGCGAGACGTTTAGGGCGCGGAGGGCGAGGTAGAATTGTTGGGCGTGCCGCGGGATGAAGGTGTGGAGTGTGTAGGAAGGGCGGTCATATTTGCTGCGTAGGTGTTAGATGGTAGGTTCATTTGGGGGCGTGAAATTGCATTGAGACGTACAGGAGGAGGTCGGAGCAGTATTTTTGTGCTGCTTGGATTTCGGCTGCTGCGGCCGTTGTTGGACTCGCGCATGGTTTGGAGTGGCTGAAGTGTCTTCTTTGGGATGCTTGGATGTTTCGACCGCCGGAGGAGAGTCGGGTTATTTGGCGGCTTGCGCCGCGTGTCGGTTGGAGCATTTCTTTGAATGGTGATATGGTGGTGGGAGAGAGTTTGAGGAGTGCTGTGGTTGTTTTGCGGCCGAACTAAAAAATCCCGGAGAGAGGATGAAATAGCATTGCGGGTACGCCGTACCTGAGAGCCAAGGTGGAGCTGCGTCAAACGATTAGCTAAACCGACAATTGACGGAGAAGAGATAGTGGCACATACATATTCCTATCCCGCGATGGAAGTTATCCTGAGGGGATTGACAATTTTGCCCTTTTCGGGAGCAAAAGAAAATGACGTCGGCCCGTGATTTCGCGTATCTCCGGCGCGTCCTCCGCGCCAATCATCCATGCAGATTATTAACAAAGAAGCATCAAAGGTTTTGCGCGCCCTGAGACCCCTGACAGGAATCTTTTCTCTCACCTACTAGAGCGGCGGCCGCTACATGATGGATTTCGGGGATATTGATGGCCGTCCTTTGAAAAAGAGACGATTTTTTGTCGACGAAGAGGCGGACACCAGACCTCCCATTGACTCTACAGCTGTATCCCCCGACGCGTCTACACCTCGTTCCACTTACGATGATCAGCCGCCGGTCGTTCAGTCCCATGGTGTACAGCTTGGCGATACAATAGTTCCTGTAGACGGAGAGGGAAATGAATATGTACGAGACGATGATCAGCAGACCGCGAGCTATACTTCGCCACGAGAGCGAGAAGCAGAAAGTGCCGGAGATACTATAGGGGGTGGATTAGCTTTTACGACGCAAAATGCTACAGTACCAGAAAAGCAGGAGGAGATAGTGACAGCAGGAAACACATCGGCACAAGAGGGTACAGACGGATTTGACACGGAGGCCTTCGTTAGTATTATCGGGGAGCGACTCTCGCCAGACACGATACGCAAGATTCGGAGTGTAGCTGGCGATAACCTAGAGAGAGCGATCAATGTTTATTTCGATGGGTCATGGAAGTTACCCCCTGGTAGTGCAAGGAACCAAACCATGCTGACATCCCAACAAACGCTGTCCACGCGGTCTACGCCTGTTATTCAGACATCTATATTTGGGAATAGGCCAGGAAGGAAGGGGAGGAGTGCTCCGGCTGAAATTGCGCCCCAAAATACCTCCCAGCCCTCGGTGAGATACGTTGGTGCTTTCGGCGTGGGAGCGTGGGCGACTCGGAGTGGAGTGGGGTTTATTAAACATGGAGATCGTGTTAACATTGAGCGTGCCAGGTCTCAGCCGGTCTCGAAGCGTGGTCGTGGTGGGAGGGTTTTCACTAATAACAGGGGTGACGTTTTAACTCGCTTCACCAATCAGTCCGGCCAGGAAATTGGGAGACTTCCTCAGGAGACAGCGGCATGGGTATCGACTTTACTTGACCAAAAAGTCTGTAAGCTCGAGGGAGTGTGTGTATTCGCACCGGATAGAATCCGCGTCAATGACACAATATACCTGCAACTATGGTGTTACTTACGTATAGAGGCGTTTCAATCTGGCATTCTGGATAGCTCAATCGATGATAATCGATCGACAACCATTTTCGAAGAGAAGGAAAGCACTGAAGAGAAGCGGCTACGACTTCGCCAGGTCGCTCTGGTAAAGCTCTTCGATGAGATCGGTCTGCAACCGACCTCAGCCAACGACATGACCCTGAAACATAAGAAGGAGGGCTTGCTGCGTGCAGTGGAAATAGCAGAACAGTACGATAAAAACAAAAGAGAAAACAAATCGAATAACGACTCATCTGAAGACGAAGAGTCCCCGGAACTAGAGGAAGACCAACTTGATACTTTATACAAGAAGGCCCAGACATTCGATTTCAGTATGCCAGAGGCCGAGCCTCCACCGACGTTCTCGTTGAACCTCCGGAAGTATCAAAAGCAAGCCCTCCACTGGATGTTAGCCAAGGAGAAAGATAATAAGTCCGCCAGAGGTCCATCAATGAACCCGCTGTGGGAAGAATATGCGTGGCCAACCAAAGATGTTGAGGATCACAACCTTCCGACCATTGAGGGCCTTGATCACTTCTACGTCAATCCGTATTCCGGAGAGCTTAGTCTCGACTTCCCAGCACAAGAACAGCATTGTCTTGGAGGAATCTTAGCTGATGAAATGGGCTTGGGTAAAACCATTGAGATGCTTAGTCTTGTTCATTCTCATAGAAACGTGCCTCTCGGCCAAGCAGCAGATGGCCCAAGCTCCGTCTCCGGCCTAGCAAGGTTACCCTCCTCGACTTCTGGCGTGGTAACCGCTCCTTACACTACTCTTGTTATCGCTCCCACCTCTCTTCTTTCGCAGTGGGAGAGTGAAGCCCTGAAGGCCTCTGAACCAGGTTCAATGAAGGTCCTGATGTACTATGGTAATGAGAAGTATGTCAACCTCAGAGAGCTGTGCGCAGCAAGTAACCCTACTGCTCCTAATGTAATCGTCACGAGCTACGGAGTTGTCCTGTCGGAATATCGACAGATGTTGTCATCTGCGACATTTTCGACTGCTACGCCAGGTGGCTTGTTTTCGGTAGAATTCTTCCGTGTCATTCTTGATGAAGCACACCTTATCAAGAATAGACTGTCGAAGACTGCGAGAGCTTGTTACGAGCTTAAAGCGACTCACCGATGGGTCCTCACTGGGACACCTATCGTTAACCGCTTGGAAGACTTATTCAGCTTAGTGCGATTTCTCAAGGTCGAACCGTGGAATAACTTCTCCTTTTGGAAAACCTTCATCACCGTGCCTTTCGAGTCTAAAGACTACGTACGGGCCCTCAATGTGGTACAGACCGTGCTTGAACCTCTAGTCCTCCGACGCACCAAGACGATGAAAACCCCAGAAGGGGAGCCTCTAGTACCACTGCCACGTCGGACCATTACAATTGAAGAGGTCGAACTCCCGGAGCAAGAAAGAGAGATTTATGATTATATCTATACCCGAGCAAAACGCACATTCAACGACAACATCGAGGCAGGTACCTTACTAAAATCGTTCACAACGATCTTCGCCCAGATTCTCCGCTTACGCCAAACATGCTGCCATCCAATTCTAACCCGCAACAAAGCCATTGTCGCAGACGAAGAAGATGCAGCGGCGGCAGCCAACGATGGCAACGGGCTCAAGGACGACATGGACCTACAGGAGCTAATAGACCGATTCACAACAGCAACCGAACCAACAGACTCCAAACAAGGCCAGGAAACCTCCAACAAATTCACCACCTACGCTCTGAAACAGATTCAAAACGAATCCAGCGGCGAATGTCCCATCTGCTCGGAGGAACCCATGATCGACCCAGCAGTAACCACCTGCTGGCACAGCGCATGCAAAAAATGCCTAGAGGATTATATACGCCACCAAACAGACAAGGGCGACTCGCCGCGATGTTTCTCATGCCGCGCACCAGTCAGCAGCAGAGATATCTTCGAAGTCATCCGTCATCAATCACCAACCACCACAACCCCGGAAAACGACATATACAGTAGCACTCCTCCGACCAGCACCCAACCCGCACCCCGTATCTCTCTCCGCCGCATAAACCCCCTCTCCCCTTCCGCCCACACTTCCGCCAAGATCCACTCCCTCATCAACCACCTCCACCGCGTCCCATCAAACACCAAATCAGTCGTCTTCTCCCAATTCACCAGCTTCCTCGACCTCATCGCCCCGCAACTGGACAAAGCCGGAATCCCCTATGTCCGTCTCGACGGCACAATGGCCCAAAAATCCCGAGCCGAAGTGCTCGCCCAGTTCAACAAGACCGAAACCTTCGACCAAGAAGAAATCGAAGACGCAGAGCGAGAAGATGACGTTAATAGCCCCTTCCCCAGAAAATTACCACACCCTAGAAACGGCCACGCATCGGCGAGCCCCAGTCCCAGGGTTCTTCTCATCAGTCTCCGTGCTGGTGGCGTGGGTCTCAATCTCACGGCCGCTAGTAATGTGTTCATGATGGATCCGTGGTGGAGCTTTGCCATCGAGGCCCAGGCTATTGATCGCGTTCATCGCATGGGTCAGTTGAGGGATGTAGCTGTTACCCGGTTTGTTGTTAAGGATTCGATCGAGGCGAGGATGTTGCGGGTCCAGGAGCGGAAGATGAATATTGCTGGGTCGCTGGGGTTGAGAGTTGGGGGAGATGGGAACGAGGATAAGAAGGAGAGGATTGAGGACATTAAGATGCTGTTTGAATAGACTCATCTGTCTGAACCTATATGTATGGAGCATAACTCCTCGGCCATACTTCTTTTGGTGGATATACAGATCTACCCTGGTTTAGCATAACAATACCCTCGCCCTAAATATAATGCAACTGGTTAGAATTTAATAGAACTTGACTTAGAAACTAGAAGGAACCTTCCACTATTGTACAGACTATACACTAAACCAATCCGCGAGAATAACAATACACAAATGGGTCATCAAGTTTCAATCATCACACGTCACAATCTGCAGGCCAATTATAGATTTTAGGACTTATGGGGATGGATGACCTTTTCCACCTTCTCCTTAATATGAGCCATAGTGCCCCCCGAATGAGAACTATCCTTAGAATGCTTCTTGTCCGAGGATTCATGCTTGTTGCTACCGCCAGGCTCACCAGCTGCCGCAGCTATATCAAAATAGTTAGCCTTATCCATTCCACCTAATCCTTGAGAGAGTCAGGGAAATAACTTACCAGGCTTACCGTCATCCTCGGCCCTAGCAACCTTCTCATCCTGCTTCCAGTGCTCTCTGGGCTCAGCAACGGAGGGCCCACGAAGAGCCTCCTTGCTCACATGGTCAGTCTTAGGGGTGAAACCGACTTGCTCGACATCATCGTCCTTCTTGGTAGGCTTAGACGTAGACTCCTTCTGAGTGCTGCTTTGGCCCTCCGTTGTCGTGCTTGAGGTTCGTTGCTCGGTGATAGACTTAGATTTCTGGGGCGCGGATTCAGCGATGCCAGTGCTGGGATGTCTGGCTTCGGTACTGGTTGGTTCCTTTGTAATGCCGGAGCTGGGCTGTCTGGCCTCGATGCCAGTACCGATGGACTGAGAAGACCGATCGGGGATTTGGGCCTGGCTTCCGTGGCTGGTGGTAGAGCCCAGATTCCGGGATCCCTCTAGACCGGAGGTAGAGGTGTGGGTGCCAATGGCCTGGGAAGACCGGTCGGGGATCTGAGTCTCACTTCCTCCGTAACTAGTTGTAGGGCCCAGGTTCCGGGGTCCTTCTAGACCTGAGGAGGGGTGTGTGTCTTTTTCGAAAACAGGCTTGTGGGTCGTAGAAGCTGGCTGTCTGAGACCAGTTTCCTGGGCGTCTTTCTCCAGGGCCGACTTCATAGGGGAAGTCTGACCGGTACTGGAGGTGGTGTGTCCAAGACCAGATGTCTCGATGCCCCTGTCTAGACCGGACTTCTGAGTAGAGGGGTGTCTCAGGCCAGTTGGGTGAGTAGTGTCTGCTCCGAGAGCTGAGGTCTGAGCGGAAGTTGCACCTCCAAGAGTACCCGTGTGTCTGAGACCATGTTGGTGGGAATCAGATGGGAGAGCAGATGTCTGGGCGGCTGTTGCGTCTCCGAGACCACCTGTGGAAATCTTGTGTCCAGATCCGGCACCAGAGGCAGCAGTAGCAGTAGCAGCAGCAGCGCCAGCGCCAGCGCCAGCCAAGGAACCCTGGTTAAGTCCAGTAGTCTTATCACTGTGGCCGTGGGTGAGACCTGAGGGCTGGCTGTGACGGTCAAGGTTGGATCCCAGGCTCCTCTGTTCTGGGACTCGGTGTGGCTGGGAATCGTACTTTGCGGCGGTTTCGCCGATGGGGTTCAACTCGGGTTGCATAGCGGCTGGGCCACTTGCTGCCTTGCTGTTGCTGGACTTGAGACTCGAGGAGCGGTCGGCTGGAGTAATCGATGAAAGAGCCTCAGGGACGAGAGCTGTGTTCTCTTGGGTTTGAGGAGCGCCGGGTTGGTCTGATTTTGTGTCAGTTATGTAAATTATACAGGGGGACGCGTGGTTGGTTTGGACAAGATAGCCGAAAAACAGTATTAGCACTCACCAAGACGGTTTCCAGCATCGTAAGGATCAGTAGCGGTTCCTCTGCCTTGGATTCCGGCGATTGGCTCCTTGCCGTGCTGGGTCCATTGCTGTTCGGAGGACCGGTAGTCGTGCCTGAGGGCGTCGGCGGCTGTGTGCCAGGCTTTGTCGAAAGACTCCATGGTTGCAATGTGGATATGGAATTGAGTTTGATGAAGTGTGGGGAAGTAGAGCTAAGACTCTGAAGAGATTGCTTGTCAATTGCTTAGTGAAGTAGTAGTATTAGAGAAAGTTGATGATCTAGATGATTTGGCTCTCTGGTAGCGTCTTCTACGGGGTATATATCAGTTCCTGCTTCATCCACGGTACGTCAGTGGCATTGAAACAAAGGATCTCATATCTGGCTCGATGACGATCAGCGCAAGAAGTTTCCAATGGTGCAGGAGATCATCTGCTCGATGTCATCATCTAGGGCTGATGACGTCACCCGCCACGGGAGGTTGTCCTGAATTTCAAGGCCTCAAATCCACCCACGGAGCCAATGGTGGGCGGTTTCTCAGACAAAAAATAGAAACAAAAGTAAAAACAACACACATGCACATGTTCCCATTGAAGCCATTGGACAAATTCGTCAGACATGATATAACTATGAACCGTTGGAACCCTCAATGATGACACCGCCTGAGTCAGCAACTCCATGAATGTACAATTGACGTATTGAGCGAAATCCCAGCCATTGTCCATGTAAACCATTGCAAGATTGACCAATTAAAAGGAAAGAAGAAAAGAAAAGCAAAAAAAAGGAAAGCAAAAAGAGCAAGGCAAGTACTGTCCACTCTGCGGTGGTGATGCTGTACATCCATCAAGCAGAACATATCAACCGCTCGCCCAACCCTGGCACACAAACTCTTACTTAGTGTTCCCTTCCTTCTTGGCTTCCGGGTTCAGAGGGCTGTTAGGATCGTATCCAACGCTTTTCACAATACCTAACCCCTTGGTCTTTCCTTCACGGAAGAGTACCCGGTCTCCAGGCGCCAGAAACTCTGGGCGCATCACGAAACGGAAAGCCACCAGGGCACGATCACCCGTTCTGATGAAGGGACGGTCAATGTCAATAACAGAACATGTTTGACTCACAGCACCAACGTGCAACATCGCTTGGTACCGGGGCTTGATGGTAGTAGCATGGGAGAGAATGAGAACTAGATCGAGTCAGCGTAAACCCTACACAGGTGACACAGCATGTGGTCCTACCTTCCGCAACGAACTCCCGGTAAACCTTGGGAGGCTGGTCCAACTTCTTGAGAACAACCATACCCTTTCGAACCTCTTTCCTTCGTACCCGTTTCAGCGCGAACGAGCCAGACTGTCCCGCAAAGCAGGCGTTGACCGATATCCGTTTCCGTTCGATGGACTTGATCGTGGTTGTGGTGAATTGTCCAAGTGAATCAGGGCCAACAAGTACCGTATCCCCCGCGTGTATTACTCCTGACTTGGCCACCCCCGATACCACTGTGCCTACATGTGGCACGGAGAATGTATCGTTGATAAGGAACTCGAACGGCGCGTCGGCATTGTAGTGGCCACGATGGGGAAGAATGTTCAAGAAAGTCCGTATCAGGTCCAAATTTTCTCCTGTCACGTTGGACACCTGGAAGATAGGACAGATCCGCTGACTGACAAACTGCGTTGCCGTGTTGATGGTCTGATCCATGTCTTTCACGAAGATGGGTATTTTGCGAGCCCCGGGAGACTTGAGGATTTTATTTAATTGAGTCAAGGTTTCCTGGAGAATCTGTGGGGGGCAGATATCAATCTTGGTAACAATGATCATCACAGGAACATTCAGAGCCAATGCAATTCCCAAATGCTCTTTGCTCATACCGATCAAACCGTTATTGGCCGCGACCATCAATAAGCAGTAGTTGGGGCTGCTGCTTAGCATGCCGAAGACCGTAGTCCGCAAGTATCGCTCGTGACCGGCCAAATCCGAGAAGGAAATGACCTTAGCAGACCGCTTCCCTATCTCTTCCCAAGACAGTTTGCGACCCTGAGCGCTGGTCACGATCTCTCCGTGGCTGTCGAATCCCATGATCTCCATGCCGACGGAGCTGGTCCGGCCGCTCTCGATTTCATGTTTATGTCGGAAAAGATTGACTCGAGCTTTGCCGCGGCCATCGTCGAGACTTCCCTTTACGAGAACTCCGAGCATGGTACTCTTCCCAGCGTCCACGTTGCCCACAACCGCTACCCGGAGCTCAGCCATCTCCTCCACGGTTTCTGCTGGCTGCCGGATGAGGAGCTTCCCGCACGAACCCTTCATTCGATCATTTCTGACCTCGGATTCCTCAGGGCCTCCCACATTATAGGTGACAAGAATACGGCAGTGTGCTGGCAGCGTTCCTGCCGCTTCCCGTACACGCTGCAACGCCGTTTCCCATTGGGTCACATCAAAGCCCATGGCCTCACCACCATCCTCAATACCCACGTCGAATATCGCTTCACCATGGCCTTCATCGATACGTGTTTGTATGATGCTTCCCAGTAGTTGCAGGCTGTCCTCTTGTTGATCACCTGTATTCAACAACAGGTCTTTTAGTCTGGCTGGTTTCGGAGTGTCAGACAATCCTAGCTGGTCAAGGATCTCCAGTTCTGCATGATCTTCGTGAATTCGGGATACATTGGCAGTAGAGTAGCCGCTGTCGCTAGGAGCAACCGAGCGATGCGCTTGCTGTTTTTCAGCGTATTCCGCGAAATCGCTGAGCGCCTATGCGTTGACAGTCAGCAGGTGGGGCAGAGGCAAGGGAGGAGAGGTATACGATCTCGCCTCTGCGCCGCTCCTCCGGAGTAAGTTTCGGTCCAGCCGGGGCCATGCTAGAATCTTTGATTGTAGACAATGAGGGTGCTGTAGAAGTGAGACTATTTAATACACGGTACTATACGAGCTGTATGGTCGGATAGGTGATGATTCGCCTCTGGCGCATTCAGATATGTATTCGTGTTATCATAATTTCACGGCAATAAACAAAGAGATTAGGCGGATGTAACGGTAAATGACCGCGCAAGTCGATGCAGAGTGTAACTGAATAATTCAAGGAAAGAATTAGGAATGTTTGGGGGGTTAAATAGCTGAAAAGATTGACGTGGTATGAGGCTGAACTGAGACGTGTGGAGCGGCTTTGGGGGAAGCTTTATCGATAAATGGGCGAAGTCACCGCCTGAGTCATATGCCCGCACAGAAGCACGACGAATACCATGGACCACAACAAGTAAATAAATAGTAAAATTATTTTATGACATAAAAATATATTGAGTCGCCTACAGAAGATATGACTCAGGTCGCATGCCATGACGGAGTCATCATCTGATGTTAAGGCTCTAATCTCTGTGCACATGACATCTGTTTAACAAGTGCCATGTTCTTCGTCGATGACACACCCACGACCCAGGAACCGGAATAAAAACTATAGTCCACCACTCTGGGGCCGTCGCTCGGTTTCATAGTTCCCTTCCTTTTGATCCAGTATGTAGGAGAGTCAATAGTCTCCTTAGAGCTCGGTGTTGCCTTTCGACGCGTCCTTCGTCCACTTCGTCCATCAAAATCCTATCAGGCTTGCGGGGATATTAAAACGACGGAGTCTCCTGAAAACGGGATTAGTTGGTTGTCTTAGTTTAGGATCCGAGATGATGGTAGTGGTTTCGACGCACCTCGCACAAAGAGCATTTCTTCCTGTCTCTTGATTGTCTGTAGCAAGCGATATGTTAGTCATAATTGTCCAGAAGAAATCCATATTCGAAAGAAAATGATCGCTTCGACGAAGGCACAGATGGGATCGGACAAGACGGGATCACAAGGAAGCAAAGCGACGTACTCGAATTATTTCTTCCTCGTTCTCATCCTCCTCTACCACGTAGATGGTCTCCTCCACATCTCCCATCACCAAGTTGCAATGGCTGTCGTATGCCTACCACAGAACACTAATCAGCCTCCGATCGAACAGAAATTAGATCCAGCACAACCAGGAACCTACATGGAGACGACCCTTGAGCTCGCGATCACCGCGGAGCTTGACAAAGACGATTTCATCCAGGGAAAGGCGCACCAAATCCAAAGGTTCGGAGACGGAGGCGGTGCCCGCATCTTCCGTGTCGGCCATTTTCTGATTGAACGAATGACAGAGGAGAGGGGGAAACAAAAGAGGGGAAAGATTGAAAGGGGGTTTGGGAAGGCAGTTAGTCGTAGTCGTAGCCGAGGGTAGCAAGTCTAAGCTGTCGCGTTCAGGCCGTGTCAATCAAATCAATGCACTGCAGCAAATGAGGAGAAGCTGCAGGGATTCGTTGCCAAGGCGGCACCAACACGAAACAGATGACTTCGAAGAGGGAGGACAAGCTGTGCAGTTTGTCCGACGCAACTTCGTTTCTTTAGACCTCACGGAGGACCTCTTTTGTGGTGCAATTTTTGATATCTTCAACGGTTTCGATGCGGGGACTCGTACTTGCAAGTGAGAGATTTAGCTCTCACTTGGTAGTTCCCTCGTGCGGTCGCAATCGGTCCACTCAATTCGCTCTTTGCGCTGGGCCCACTCGACTGATAGTGCCCGCTCGCGATTCCACTCAGTGGAGGTCCTTCAACAACATTCCCAAGGATTCTTCCTGGAATGTGAATCACAACTTCCAGAATGATCGGAGAGCCTCTCAAATCCGGGTCGCAAGCTCCCATTTGAGTACGACAAGTATTCTCGAAGGTGGTGGCAGTCATCATGACCACGTACCCCACACCGCTGATGCGGTACCAAGTACCCACGAGGACCTGAGTGCACTGAAGGCCACATTCTATGAAATTATCCAAGATGGCCAACCTGATCAGGTTATGGACGCGCTGCTCGATCCCCGCCACGAAGAGTTGGTTGGTTCGATGCCTCCGACCGTATTCGTTGAAGTCTTCCATCTCCTATCCCCGGCGTACTTTGTGGTTCCCTATCGCGAGATCCATCGGCCTATCCATCCAAGTGCCGCGAAAATCAAGAGATTTGGGTCGCTAGACGCCATTTTCAATGATTTTGCTACCAAATTAGCTACGGTTGTTTCGATTCGACGGTCGGCCGGCCAGGTTCTTGGTCTAGCGGAGTACACGCACCTGCTGGATTGCGCACGGTCCATTGGAGATGCTCTCATGGCCGACTACATTTGGCATAGCATGACAGAAGACGAAGTTGTTCCAGATGTTACATGCTACAATTATTACATGGAAGCCAAGGTCTGGGACAAAGCCTATACGGGGCGAGAGAGATATCACACGCGGATGACGCCTTATGCTTATCGAAAAAGAAGGTTTTTCCAGCAAAACGTCGGCTGGGAGGGCTACCGCACTGCTGAAAAGAGCGTCCGAAAGGAAGTGCTTCAGATATTCAACCAGATGACCGAACAGGGGTATCATGGCGATGAGACTAGTTTCATCAATGTGTTATTGGCATCCAGCCGTGTGGGCCATGTGCTGGGGATGAAGAACGTGCTCAAAGTAGCATGGAATGTTGACATTGATGCGCTCGCGACACTGGATCAATCTGAGCTACCTCCAGCCACTAGTTACGACCGATCGTCTCCTTTGCACCCTTCAAGTCGCCTCCTGTTTGCAATCGCTCATGCATTCGGTACGAACAATGATATTTCCGGTGCATTGCGAGCTATTGAGTTCATTTCAAACTCGTATGATATCCCTGTCCCAGAACCAGTCTGGCTTGAATTGCTCGAGCGCGCCTTTGTCCTATCACGGAACCGGTTCGGTCCTGACGCAAAACGGAATGCATTAGGCAAAGTGCCTCCCGAGTTTGTGAAGGGTGTATTCGAAACAATGACGTCGAGCAATTTCAATGCTCGTCCTACTGTCGATGTGCATCGTATTCTTGCCAAGACAGCGTGGGATCAAGCCAGGCTGTCGGAATTCCAGCATCACATGTGCGCTGCTTATGACCTTCTACGAGAAACCAGACAGAAGCGGAGGACAGCGAGAGATATCGTCGAAGCTTATCTAGGAGGGGCGTCGTTAGGCGGTTCTTCCCGACGGAGATCGCGGGTTGACACTACGCTTCTACGATCACGAGGCTTCGCCGAGGCGGTACACACCTATGATATCCTCCGATTGCGCACCGCCCAACATACCATCACCATGGAACGCTTCGCGAGACTCCTCGTTACGCACAAACGATGGACGGGCCGCGACAATCCGGTGTGGGAACGCTGCCTCCTCCCTAAAGTGCTTGAAGAGTGGCAGGATTTTCTACCACAGTCCCTCCAGTACCACATCAGGGGCGGTTATGTCGATCTCCTAGGCGCGACGCACTGGGGCCAGCATAGATTGACACTTCACAATAGGGTCCCAGTCCGTCGACCTACCGCGGAGAACGGTGTTGAGCTGGACGAGGAGGCCATGGAAATGGAGGACGATTTCGTCTGGGCACAGTATTTACGCTCCAACCCCGATCTCGACTTAGACGTGACGCCACTGAAACGACTCTTCTCCGGAGTCACTGAGAGAACCCGCAGACCTAGACCCTTTGCCATAGATACAGAATATGCTACCGAGCCTCAACAGCTGGGCTACGAGGCCGACGGACTGTCTGATCTGCCGGCGGAAGACTATGCCGGAACGCAATGGACTGCTCAGAGACAGAAAGAAAGAGAAACGGCCGGTGTTATACCCGGAAACTTTGAAGTGGTATTTACTTAGCTTTGCTTTATCTTTTTATGTTTGTGTTTTTCCTCTTATTCTCGCGGTGTTATTCACGCCTTGAACAATCCGCAATGTCGGGTTGATGAGCTGCTTATTCGATCAGTCATGAAGCCTCTAATATTTAAGTGTGTTGTTCAGCATCGGCCATATACCCTATCCATAGTATTGTTGCCAATGAAAATATTCCCTTTACTTGCCAATGTGCTTTACATTGATATAGCTGTCGTAGGTCAATCGCGCACAGTAGGCAAAATTATCGACCAACAGATGCTCTCTCCACGTATAGTAGTCAAGGATAGCACTATAAAGGAGGGGGGGGAAAGATATTTAGCAATATACTAAGACTTAGTGTATGTATTTCAAGTAAACTTATGGTCAAATTTCACCCTAGGATTATTCTTGGTTTTATACAGCAAGTCACGCAATTCTGACTGCGCATCGCTCTAATAAGGTAGTTGGTTTTTTTTTTTTTTTTTTTTTTTTGCTCAGCTAATGTACAGAGGGCCTTTCAGGATGCCATTGTGTTTAGATGAAGACGTAAAGAATACATACTTGACTCACCATATATGTGAATCTGCAGTAGCCATGCACCAGGGCTTGACCTCACTCGAATGGTGCAATGTCCAAATCCTTGATGTATGCCATAAGCTTTCAGCTCGCCGCTATTCCCTGGGTCACTTAAACCTTCTCACGCTTGAGGTCATTAACCGCCATATAACGACCAAAAGTAATCCACCCATATCGAAACCAAACCATCTGACTCTGATGAGCCTTAACCATAGCCGACTGCGCCGTCATCCATTCACCAACAGAGCTAACAAACAGAAGCCTCGCAGGCGGATCCTCCTTCGAGGTGCGAGACGAGCCTCTCAAGCTCGAGGACAGAGCATCGACTGCCCCACGCGCCATGCTCAATGGCGCATCAAGCACACCGATGTATTTGCGCAAGATGTTCGTCGTGGTGAGCGTGTACAGCGAGATCGGGCAGGTATACCCGGGTTTATCCTTCATCAGGGTACGAAGGAAGTGGACAGCGCCATGGTAGAGAGATCGGTGGTTGGGATGGTTGCTTATACCATGCCTGTCAAAGGTGAGGAGCACATCGATAGTCGCGATGGGCGGTTTGTCCCCCGTTGCTCCTCGTTTCCGAGAACCGGGCTGAGCTTCGCCCATTTCGGGGGCGAAGGCTGAGGCAAGTAAAGATGAGACGTCACTTTCTGACCAGGTGGCGCTCATGCTGTCGGGGAAGCGGGCTGGGTCGTCTACGATGAGGACATCGGACTCGTTGCGGAGGCCCAGATGCACGGCGCTTTTTTGGAGCTCCTTTTTGCGGATGTGGCCTAGGCCGTCGGCGTCTCCTGGTAGGTTGTTAGCTTGCTTGGAGCTGGGTGATGTGGTTCTATGTAACATACCGCTACTGAGACATAAGATCTTGAGATGGTTGCCCAGTTCTGGTTTGGTTAAGGCCAGCACTGTCGGTGCGAAGAACATGGCCTCGTCGTCGGGGTGGGCTATTAGAAGACATATTCGCTTGTTGTACAATCGAGGGAAATTACGAGCAAATGGTGAGGAAGACGTTGCGGATAATGTCCAGAAGATGAAGACGGCTGTGACCGCGAAGCCCAGTGTTATGAATGATGAAGGTGACATAGCACGAAATTTGAGTACTCGATTGGGTGACCACGCCTTAAGCTAGAAAAGGGGAATATGGGACCCACAGGACTAAATACCAAGGTTATTTTTAAGAACTATAGATTGGACCAAACACAAAATTGACTATGAATGTAGTGGAGGTACATCCGGGATTCTCACACACCTTAGTATGTTCCAGTCCAGTTTGTATCTGTTCAAGGTGGTATATCTTGGGCCAGTCAATATTAACTCAATCGAAGCCTGGCCTCTTAAAGAATAGAGAGAGCTATATCGCGTACATTCAACATAAGGCAGTGTGGTATAGCATAAAGGGGAAGATTTGACTTCAAAACCAATTGGGATGACGGTGTCGTTATCGCCACGTGACCTGAGATAATACAACCAGGAGGATAGATTTGATTGGAATAATTCTACGTGCTAAGCTACAACTTAGTAGTAAGCAGTCTTAAGGATGTTGAAATAATAGAGAAGATTATAAGATTCTCAGAATTATCATTTTTATCTATACTATTGTTGAAATTCCGGGATGAGGGCAGATACGGATAAGTTTAGAGAACAATACATGAGGTAATCCCAGTGATACAATAGCTGCGAGAAAGATAGAAATAGAACATCACTAATTTTTAGAATTGAAACACATGCATCTATACAAGCAACACAGTTCTGTTCAAAACTGTCTGCCCCTTTCCATTGCCGGAAGGGCATCTGTTAGACTGTTATATTCTAGGTTCTAGCCCAGGCGCCAATTCAGGTTCCAGACGGTCTAAGATACAAATTATGTTCCTGCTTGAAGTGGTATCCCCAATGAACATGGGCAGGAAGGCTGATACCTCATACAGTGACCTGCTTGTCTGGTACAGCGGATTCCATTAGCTAGGTTGTATTATATTTGAATTTCCATGAGCTCTTTGATAGGGATGGAATTAGGTTGGATTATCTTTGCTTAAAAATTTATCGGTTGTAATCCTGTACAAAGGTTCTTGACGGATGGCTTATAAGATGGCTTATACTTGACTGTTATTAAGAGGGCATTGTTATCTCTATCGACTCGGTGAATATAGAACTGATTTGGTTGGGAACACCAAGAACTTGATGTTCTGTTTATGTAAAACTCGTTAATGTTAATAGAATCGAGAGTATTTGTATAACTGTTAAACTAGACTCTATTACCTAGGTTAAATTTATCTCGGGTGGCCAGTATCTTGCAGAGTTCGACGATAATATTATGAATATAGTCCTTTATACTAAATTGTTTATAACTCTCTAGATCCTGTTTACTGCTTAATAGCCTTTTATTAAAATGTTTCTTAAAATCTTTCAGTTTAAGATGTGGCGGGAATAGCGGTTCTGTAGCCTCCTTTGGAGATGCTAGATCGATATAAATAGAGTGGAAAACCTCCTGTTGCCTGGTGGCACAGTCTTCCTAAGGCTGTTGCTAGCCGTCTGCTCTATGGAGAGGCGGGGAAGCAGTGATCCAAGATGCTTCCTTTTGATTGAGCCAAGGCGAGGGCAACGGGCAAGGGTCTTTGTTGTACGTGTTGGTATCAGCTGACCATGAATCGGCTAATCTATTCTTCCATAAGAATAAGCACAGCCATTGGACCTGTCAAGGCTCTGCTTGAACATGGGAGGTTGTGAACATAACAGAGGGGCAACTGTTGTAGATTCTCATCTAGACGCGGGAGAACATCATCGGGGTCCAAACCTCATGATCAAGGAGAGGGCCGATTTTTGGGTCAACACTCAGTTCGATCAAGGAATAACAAAGGGTTTTGGCAAACTGAAAGAGTCTGTTGTAGGACTCGTCACTCAAGTCATTTTTGGGAATATTATTTTTGCGTTTGTAAGTGAGTATTCCTTTTAGATATTTCGAAGGCTTAAAATGTTGAGTGAGGGGGTAGGTACATACTACTCTGTACATACCATTGATAACCACCGAGATTCTTGTTCCGCCTCCCTGATCGGGTTAGTGGTTAGTGGAATCAGGAATCGCATCTTTCAGGGAATAAGGACTCGTGCCAATCTCGTTGCTGTGCCAAAGAGGTATTTCATCCACAGAACGAACTGCCCCCGATGGATCCAATTCAGTCCAATGGTCGTCAAGCTCGCCGCACACGCCAGAACCCGGTATCGTGTCGTTTGTGCCGGCTGAAGAAGCTCAAGTGTAACCGCCAACGACCTTGTTCCAACTGCTCCGCCCGTGGCGTCGGCTGTGAATATTTTGCACGAAACCCTGGTTCCACGTCCACGGACTGCACGGACCGAAGAGAAGCTTTACCCGCAGCAACTGAAAGCGCGGGGTTACAAGCTCGCCTGGAAAGGCTTGAGGAGGCGGTGTTTGGCAAGCAGGATGACAGACCCTCTGTTCCTACTGCAATGGTACCATCAACTTGTGGCGCATTGACTACCTCGGTTATACCAGGTTTCGCTTTCAACGAGGAACATGAAGTGACATCGAGATGGCTTGAAGGCATCGGCACGCTTGAGAACCCGATTGTAAGATTATCTACAACTGTTAAGACAGTCAATGCCTACTGCGCTGACCCTGCATCTAATCCGGCCGCCAGTTTAGAGCGTATGTAGTCAACATACCATTCAAAGTTGGACCTATAAGCCAGCTACTCGAGAATATGTCAGCGACGCGGAATGAGGCAGCACCTTGGCCACCCAGTGTTCAGCTGCCTACCAAAGATGAGGCCATGACACTGTCCCAATACTTTCTGGACAATGTCCAATACCTTCATCCCGTCTTCCAGCCTCATTCCCTGCAGCATGTGATAGACGCTGTGTATATGCACCCGAATACAGCCGTTCAAAGCAAAGTGGCAGATATCGCGCTGCTGCTCAGCATACTTGCTAGTGCCAGCCATCTGTGGAGACCACAGAGAAGCAAATGCCTGGTCTTCTTATCTGCGAAAGAAGCTGCTTCCATGTCCTTGATCTGGAGCAATGCGGCGCTGGATATTCTGGAGTACTCGAAGCGAACTACTGCTGCCTCGATTGAAGATCTCCAGGCCACGATCGTTATCTCCTACGTTATCTACAATTCCCAAGGGTTCTCCCCCATGTTCCGTTCACTTCATAGCAACATGATTATGATGGCCCGAGATCTTTCTTTACACAAGACTGATAGTCCCCGAAGAAAAGGAGAGACAGAGCCACCGCCAAGTCCGATTGAAGCTGACGTAAAGAGAAGGTTATGGTGGCACATTGCTGCCACAGACTGGTAAGGTGCAGTCGTTACTGATCAGCTTTTCTGCTAGCGCTAAAGCGCGAGAAAGGTTACTGGCATTCACCCCCGGCCCACAGGAGGGCACCTATTCTATTCAGCTATCACAGATGCATGTGAATCAGCCGCATTATCCCGAGAGCTGTGATCATGATGCTGGGAATGTTTCACTACTATCTACCTCCTACTTCCTTCAGCGTGTTCGGCTAGCGGAAATCTGTCGTGCGGTGGTTGACTCCTTGTCCCCGCTTAAAATGATTGAGAATGCGAACTACGAGCAGATTATCTTCTTGGACGGCAAATTCGAGGACTTGATCAGAAGCCTCCCGGCATTTTTTCGGCTAGACCAGGGTAGCAAACTCTTGTATACCGCGCCCCAACTTACCCTCCAGCGCTATCTGATCCATCTTGGGATCTATACCAGACGCAGCAGACTTCACCAGCATTTCGTGGTAGCGGGGTTCACCGATCCCAAATATACGTTTTCCAGAAATGCTTGCCTAAACTCCTCCCGCGCGGTTCTGCAGATCTGCTACAAGCTGGAGGAAAAGAAGGATGACCTAGAGTTGATCCCCGCCAGGCTTGCAACCGTGGTGCACCACGTCTTCATGGCCACTGTTGTGCTAGTGATGGACCTCTGCTCCAACAAAGTGGAAGGTTTCGAGGAACAGCGGCAAGCCGAAGTCACCCGAGCATGCAGGTTGCTCGACAGCTTGAAACAAGACTCCGCCATGGCCGCGAAACTGGCCCACCCCCTCATGGAAATCCTGCAGAAACACAAAGAAAGGCTACAGCAAAACCAGTCCTCGACTGTGCCTCTCACGGTGGTAGTACCACCTGCTGACAGCAGAATCAGTCAAGTATCCCCGGATCCGTCAAGCGACTTCCATAGGTCTTTGTCTAACACTATCGGCCAATATACATCAGCAACTACTGCCAGTGGTGGCGGCCAACAACCAGCAGCCCGAACGGAACACCAACAACAACAACAACTATATGTCGAGGACTGGGAATTTGATGCCATGATGCAGCAATACATCGATTTGGGCCAAAACATAGATGGGCCTTCTTGGGGTTCTCTTTTCGATGATCTGGATTCTCACCATATGACGGATGCCGGGGGCGCTGTTTTTTATGGCTAATTGGGAAGGCTCTTGTTTACAAAGGGGGTTGATAAACCAAAGAGGAGACAATCCCAGTGGATGGCTTGTAGTCATCGTGTTCCAAGTTCGGTGGTACACTGGTAAGAACTGAGTATTGTTCTATTGTTTGTTGCATTTTTTCACTATCTTCACTTTGTCTTTTCAGATCAACTGAAAATATCTTTTGTTCTTTGAGTTTGGAACCTCCAAACCTTAAAAAGAGCAAAGGCTCTAAATAAGATGAGAAACTTCTATGTAAGACAAAAAGATGGCTTTAGATAATAGCACAAACGTGCTCTCTATATGTAATTCACTATGTACAGGTTCCCAACGCATAACTAATAGTTCCTGCTTGTGGGACCATATCAGTGAATCCTTTCCAGTGAGGCCGAGATCGGCAGCGTGTCCTTCGCCGTAGAAACCAATTCTGCAATCCGGCCCTTGGTCTCCGTGAAGGCATGCTGCCAGGCAAACATGTGCAATGAATCGCCTGCGGTACCCATCGCGTCTGCTTCTTGGTCGGAAATGCTCCACTGCTCTGCTAATCCAGGGAAGACCCGTTCCATCTGCTCTGCAACCTCTTCCCGCTCATCTGCAACGTTAATACTATTTTTGGAACTGTTCAGATCAAACGTATAGTGCCTGTGTCTCGCAAAAAAGGACAGTGTTAGTCGATCGTGATCATGAACCAGAAATTTGGCAATGTGCGCTTCGTTGTCGTCGCAGTCGTGCCCCTCATGTCGCTGGCGAGTGCTTGAGGGGTAGACGCTGTGGTGGGAATCCATCTCGGTCCGTTGCATTCGTGCTTTCGAGTCTGAGCGTGGCGAAGAAAAAGTTGGAGTGGTAACCTGAAAGCCATCAGTTTTCTTCTTGATTCCCTTTACTTCTTGGATCAACTTTTGCTGGAAATTTTTACCGCTATCACAGAAATGCCGATCAACCAGAATTAAAGGATCGCCGTCTTTCCCCCATAGCTCTCTCATGGCCAAATAGCCGACATATGTCGGGATGCAGGTTAGGTTGGTTGAAGAGGTCCGGATGGTACGCATCATCAAACTGTAAGGATATTAGTTTCTTTAGCCTTTCCTGCCATGAAATGGGGCTTTGTATCGGGAGGCTTACCTATCAATTCCAGGTGAGGCTGATGATGCCTTTGCAATATCATACAGCCATGCACAACTCAATTTCGATACCCAGCTCTGCAAGATCCCAAACTCCAGCTCGATTCGGCGAGTGGCTTTGGAATACTTGTAGTGGAAGAGACTATAGTCCCACACATCGCGCACCATTTCGTCACCTGCCTGGATCGCTGCTTCAGGGTCGATGCGCGCCCCCACGACGTGCTGGAACCGACGAAAGCCCTTGTACTTGGAAAGAACAATACAGTAGGTGATGAATCGGACCATGGTCCATGCGTCTAGTGGATTCCATTCAATCCCATCCACTGCTTCGTTGGACGATGCTGTGGATGCACATGACGGTGGGACCCTTTCCGCTGTTGGCCTAACGTCGGTATCATCCACAATCACTATGTCCATGTCTTCGTGGTGAGCAATAGAGTTGTTCAGTACTGCCGGATCATTGCAAATTTGCCACAAGGCATTCTCCTGACACTTAGTGACCAGCTGCTCCTGCTGCCCCTCCTCGATCAAATCCCAGCCGTTTAGACAGCCTTTGTGAGTCCGTGGCTTTTTTACCTGGGATATTGGATAGATAGCTGTAATGGAACTCAAGATTTCCTGTTCATCCCATCCCAAGTGGCGGAGTAACCCGTCTGGACTATCCTTCTTGGGACCAATCCCCAGTTTCTCCGGGTGAATGCGCTCGATCGTGAGCTTGGCCAGCATCTCTCGTGCTCCATCACACACGTTGGTGAGCCGTTCGATGTATTTATCGAGCCAGGACGCTTCTTTGTCACTGCTGCTCAAGGCCCAGTACCTATGCTTCTTGGTCAAGTCGAGGAGCATTCCAGCTTGCAGCTGGCAGGAGGTGTCACCGACATGTGCGTCAAACGCGGTGAACCCAGCATTATCAACATATGCATCCTCGGCAAATATTAGACGGCGATAAAGCGTCAAGGCGTCGATGGCGTCGGAGGATGCGCGAACTATGTCCGTGTACATTGTCCCATAATAATTTCGCGGGCGAAGGCCTTTGGGTGCCGCTGTTGCAGGAAAGAGAAAACATGCCATTTTCTTTAATAGAGAAGTTGTGCTTTCGAAGAATTCTCGTAATAAATAATATAGTTTGAGCGGATTGTTCCAGATGAGCTGCTTTGACTAATTCTATATAGAACCTAGTGCTGGACCTCCTGCCTCGATATATAGACAGAACCAATCAACTGGACTCCCTTCATTTTATTCCTTTTTCACCAGATCTATTTGAATAATCGGATACTACATCTGGAGACAACTGTGCCCGTACTGGCGTCAGCGACGGACCGGCCCATCATTCCCGCCATTGCAGCCAATTGATCCCCACTAAACAAGACACGGACGGAGTAACTATCAAGACCAACAAGATCACCGGGATCAACCGAGTATACTAGTGTAGTGGATAACAACTGCGCGCGGAGTTTTTCGGAGTTTTTCGGTGGTGTGTGCACACTCCGAATTCACTCGCGGTGAGGGAAGCCATCAAAGTCTACCCCAACGTGTAGAATTCCATATGAAACTCGGAAAACATTGTTCTCAAGTGGAGTCATGTACAGATGTGTACTCAGCTCTAAGGTCTTTACGTGCGTCTTCTTGATGGCGAATTCCCATAGTACTACTGTATATGCGTGGAAAACTCGGAGATTAGGGCAGCGTGAGTATGCTTCGACGGGGAGTATGAAAATATTCTTTGAGAAAATCTCTCTCTGAAAATCTCTCTCTCTCTCTCTCTCTCTCTCTCTCTTCGGTAGTAAAATCAGCCCAATAGAGGAGGCCCGGAATTCCGCTGTATAAATTGAGTCTTTGAACTCACTTGGGCTATACACGCTTTCAGCGCCCCCTTCTTGAAAAAACTTTTCCTTGCAGAAGTTTCCTTATATTAGCTCCAGAGAATGGATTCTATGTTCGGCACGACGGTTTTTGTTGTATTGCTCGCTATTTACACAAGATATTGTAGAAATGTAAGTGTTTCACTTTTTCCAACTGCTCCTTAAGAAAGCGGGCACTGACTCGCGCCAATACAGATCAGCAATGACTTCAAAGACAGTCAAGGTCTCAAAATCAAACAACTGAAGAAGGATACTCGGTATCGAAGGTTCTCGCATGGGTAGGTAATCAAACACAGAAAAGACGATTTGAGATTCGACGTTAAGGAAGAACCTCATGCAGTCATGAACTGTCCCAGGAAGGCCGCAAACTCGCGGGCGAAGAGCCATACTTAATCCAAAATGGATGGTGGACTCGCGAGCTGGTAATCACACACCCGGATCACTTGCGAGAATTCTATCGGAAGGATGCAAAAGGTATTTCTTGTTTCCCACTCGAACAATCCTCTTGCATGTAAATATCCATCCTAATCTGCTATTTTCCCCAGATCACAAGAAGCCAATCAACATGAATCTCGGCGATTATTTTGGACGGTGAATATATCCGCCCCCCAGTCTTGAAAATCTCTTTATTCGTGGTCAATGGCAGCTGACAACTATCCATCTTCAAAAAGACTTCTTGGCCAATGCCTGGGTCTTCAAGGAGGGCAAAAATGAGCCGTGATGCGCGCTCACTTCGAGCCCGAATTCTCCCATCTGGCAAGCGTGAACATGACAGATACATTCGCGATGGAGATCGAGAAGTGGACCCTTGAGCTGTCAAAGGGCCGTGATCTTCATCAACAAGAGGCCACCCTGAGATCATTTCATCGGAATCCCACTGAAGCTTGTCGGTATCTGCCTTTTCGCTTGACGGGGTTGACAGTATATGGAGACGCGCTCGACGCGGAGGTGGGTATATTCCCTACCTAGGATAGAACCAAAAGGATGGAAGTTGTTGCAAGCTGACTGACTCACACTACTAGACATACCAAGATCTTGTGCATTTGAATGATCTCCATGAACAGGTGATGCTTGATGCTTTCTTCGGCAGATTCACCGTCTCGAAAATCTTTAATATCCTTCCCACGCAGTCGAGACGTCGTCTGGACACATTCAAAGCAACGTGGGAAAAGCTGAATCTCGATATTATTGCGAAAGCAAGAACGGTATGGGAGAGACGGAGCCCTGGTAGTTGTTGTCATGAAGAGAGAGAGAGAGAGAGAGAGAGAGAGAATGTGTAGCTCACATCGAACATATAGAAGAAGCTTCACTGCCCGGCTGAGCGCATTTGCCAAGGTGTTGAATCTGGGAAGATGTCAAAATTTTGAGGTCCGTTTTTCTAGCAACACACCCACCTTTTCTTTCAGGTATGTGTGGCTAAACTAAAAATGAATACACCGCAGTTCCTAGAAACGATGGACGAGTTGTTATTTACAAACATCGATGTGACCTCGACTGTTGCATTTCTCCTCATCAACATCGCGGCCAATCAATCGTTCCAGTCATCCCTGAGGGAGGAAATTACCGCAAAGCAAAGCCAACCATCCTATAATCTAGGCGAGTATGTGTTGGAGAAGGATACCCTTCTTCATTATGCTGCAATGGAATCTGTTCGCATGAGTCCGGCGCTATGTAAGTTGAACGCTCCTAAATCGTTTTTATTCATGGCAAGCAATTCCTTTCCACTAACAAGCAAACCTCGGGAACGAAAGGGTTTTCCCTGCCCGAAAAGACAGCCGCCGAAAAAATCATTGGAGGCTATCGAATCCCTGCCCAGACGCCCGCGGTCATCGACTGGAAACGCCTCAACACCACCCCGGCCATCTGGGGCTCCGATGGGGAACGCTTTCGCCCCGAGCGTTTCGCCGACATCTCGCCTATGGCATATCGATACGGCTTGCTGCGCTTCGGGATCGGCCGCGGGCGGTGTCTCGGGAAGAACATTGCTGACATGATGCTCAAGATGGTGACCGTGGCCATCGTGCAGCGGTATTTCATGACTCCTGCTGGTAAAGAGAAAGGCACCAGACAGGACCGGTTCACGGTGACATCGGAGGAGGAGATTGAGTTTACTCCGATTCGCCCTCTAACTGCGTGTGCATGATTGATATTCTAGCTGCTTTGTTGAGCAGAATAGTTTTCATGGATGTAAATCATCATTAATTCAGGGATGTCCTCGATATCTAGAAAATACAGCTACTCCCCTACATGGGAAGGAAGTACGGTGGCTAGGAATCTAGTATATGTTGATTTCGTGGCTGGTCACCGAAGAAGTGGATAGAGACTAGCATATCTACCTAGCTGGACTCAAAATTTGCGATGAGTTCTTCAGCTCACATAGCTTTTGTTGACACGAAAGGAGTGCTAGCCATAGGGGAAAGTATGAGGTTAAAGTATTGCTTGAATTATTACTATCTAGGCTATGTGGTTGGAGGTGACTAAGGGGGGAGTAGACGTTGTGTAGTAACTTAATGTGGTCTGTTCATGTAAGCATGCCTACTAGGAGTAGGTGCTCTAACAGTTCTCTATGCCGGTATTTTAAATACCTATCCTGATAGCTCCATATCACTCCATGACAATCCTATTACAAGCTTGCTACCTGTTGGTTCCTTTGTGTCTCTAAAGGTCAAAACATAGTCTATAATTGGATATGGGAGAACACGGATGAACACGGATGAACGGGCCACAGCAGGCAGACCCGATATTCATCTTTCTCAGATCAAACAGGAAGACTAACTTCATACAACTGGGGGCGGCGTTATTTAGTATGACGTGATATACTTGACCTCATTCCACTTCAGACGGACCTTCCAATATCGATACTGCTTGGTATACCAGTCCAAGGTGACCTAATGGAGATCATCATTCTAATAGAGTAGCTGAGATCCGAGTAAGCGAGTGTATCTTTTCTTTTTGATTCTGAGGCGTTTGCAGGCCTTACAGCTCGCACTGGGCTAAATTAAATCAATCGCCTCCCGGGGCAAGCACATGATTAAGTATGAAACGGAAAACTGGAGCCATTGATTTACCGGATCTGGTTGTGATCGTCTCCTTGAATATTCTATACGTTTAAGGGAAGAGAGAAAACAAGATGAGAAGACAAAAAGAAAAATGGGAGAGAAAGAGAGGGGGGCCGGCTGAACCGTCTCTTTCCAGGGTCATTAGACTTTTTGGCCTAAATAAAAGGCGGCAGAAAGGCAACTAAAAAAGTTGGGAAGCATTTGAGTTCTTAGCTGGACTTGTGTGAGGGGAGCGAAGAAAAATCATTGCCGTGCAAATACTCTCCTCTCCATTTTGAACCGCGCCATAAAGATGAGAATGCCGCCCACAACAAGGGATGCCCCGGCATAAATTGACAAGGCAAGGTATCCGTAAGATTCGACCAGCTGGCCACTAATGGGGGTACCGAACAAAGCTCTGTGGTTTTAAAAGTGGGTGTAATTTAGCAATCGAACAGTTTAAAGAAGGAATTACAGGTAGAAGAGGAGAAGCAGCGAAACTCACGTCAAAGCAACTGATCCCATGAGAAGTCCTACTGCTGTACCATGGAGCTCATGTGGTGCCAGGTGAGCTGCACAAGCGGATTGCAGACTCATAATAGCCTGCGAGTTAGGATTAGCAAAATTCGAAGCTTTGTGGTTTGGTGGAGAGGGGATGCGTACACCGGACGTAAGTCCATATGCTAGACACCATACAACAAGCCCTCCGGAGCTCTTTGCTGCGGTCCAGCAAAGTGCAGTGGCTCCAGATAGCAGAGCTGCTGTACCACAGAGATTGAAATGCCCATAGCGATCTGCCAGAATCCCCGGCAGAATTCTGCCAAAGAGGGATGCGGCATTGATAATAGAAACTAAGTAAAACGCGAAACTGGTGGAATGGCCCAGGCTCTGCGCGTAGGAGGTTGCATAGAAGAATGGACTGAACATACCCAGGTAGGAAATGGAAAGCCCCGAGCAGAGCACCATGAAGGTGGTGTTTTTAAGAAGCGAAACGAGACCCTGTTTGTGTGCACTGGCTTCCTCTTGTAGAACCTCGTGTGTTCCATCTACCTCGTGTCTTTTATTCCTTTCCTCTTCGTCAGTCAACATATGATGATGGTGGCCATCATCGGCTTTCTTCGCTGGTGGGGTGACGGTCAAGACCGCGAGAACGAGGAGTGGGAGCATAATAAACCCGACGATGCGAATCGTCCAGCCAAAGGTCACACCATCCTTATTAAGGAGCTCATTCAGCACAATCGGCCAGACCACACCCCCGGCGGACGATCCTCCCACTGTCACCCCCATAGCTAGCCCTTTGTTTTTATGAAAATACCGAGAGACCGTCGCGATCGCCGGACAGAAGAGACAAGACATACTGGCGCCCAGAAGCACGGCTTGGGCAAGAAAGAATTGATAATACTGCTGACAAAGAGAAGTCATGAAGACGGCCACAAGCATTGCCAGGCCGCCGAATATGAGAAGTACCTGGCGTCCATCTCCTTTAGCCGTCTGTTTTATCTGTTTTCGGAGGATAAATACGTGGGTGGTTTTACATACTGTCGGTCCAACACGATCAACCAAAACACCAGCGATAGGAGCACCAGAAAAGAGCGCAAAAGTAGAGAAGGAACCGATCCATGAGATGTCGAAGCTAGAGTAGCTACTCAGTTGATGTGATTGATAGTAGTCCTGGAAAACTCCAAAGGCATTGATAAATCCAACACTGCAAAAGAAAGTGAAGAAGGCTCCTATTACCGTCAGCCATGCTCGGAATCTATTGTTTTGTCAGTACGCATCTTTGTGGGAAATAAAATAGAAGAAACGGTATGTGACTGACGTGTGTTCAGAGCCGCTGGAAGCGGTAGGAGTTTGGATTTGGCCCATATTCAGAAGGTTTATCGACTGCTTTACACTCTGCATGACAATGTTCAGAAAAGCATGAGCAGATAGACCTTTTTAATAAACGACCTTCTCACTGTATATGAAAAAGTCTTTCGGATATGGGTATGGTATCAATTGCAGGGTCCATGGAGGTCACCCGGAGACTTCATCGAAAGTCCGCGGAGCATAGTGCGGACTTACTACGTATGCCCGGAGAATCCATGGAGCTTCGAACAAGAAAATCATCAAGTCTCCACATGTGCAGATTCTTTCCAACCTGGTAAAGTTTCCATAGTACTCCGTACATAGGGCAGCTGGCAGCTTGGTTACGCGCTGCACCAAGGTCATTGGAACCATAGAGAGGTCGGAAAGAGTGCTTAAATCATGCCATCGGCCAAAGCGATTTCGAGTATCATTGTAAGACAACTACCTCATAAAAAACAATGCTGCTATGTACTACTAAAGTGGAGGCATGCGGTTTGTCTGGTAGGATATCTCTTCTATAAGCCCATTCTTTCACGAAGCAATACCTTAAGATAATGGCCATACTGTAGTACGCTGCTCAACTCTCTTTGGCTGCCAATTCTCAATGTGCGAGATATATCTTCCTTTAAACCTGCCCTGACCATTTCTATTTGTCGAGTCAGCCTGCCTAGATGGGATTTGAGATCCGGCCCGAGCGGCTGCTGTTGCTGTGCCTCTTCGGGTGAATTTTTTTCTTTCTCAAAAGGCGAGGTCTCAGGGTCATGCAGATTAGTGAATGAAACAATATCCTCCACTGCCTGAAACTCGTCCAGAAGCATTTGCACGGTTATATAGACTTTACTGCAAGCTTCAAAATTACTAGTAGGTGCTAAGAGCTCCCCTGGTTGTAGTAGCTCTGCTTCCCCTAGGTCGTGAGATGGTGTATGGCGAGAGGAGGAGACTGATTCCGGTAGTCGTTTGAGGACATTGTGGATCTGGCTAAATACGATTGTGTATAGTTTGGCGAGAGACGCGTAACCGGTCAACATTAGCAGATTGGTTGCCAAGTCCGGCATCTCTTTGAAAATTGACTTGGAATCGAGAACTTCTGACGGTGCTTGTTGACCTCGAGGTACGCTAAAGATATCCATGCTTTCCGGACACACGGGGTATGTCGAAGTGGAGAAAGAAGAGGTGGGTCGGAGTTGTTGTTGTTGTCTGTCTTGGACCGACAACTTTGGCTGCCACAAGTGTCGTAGTTCAGCTGCAAGTTTTCGCGTCAACCGCAAAACTGGGCCAACGGGATACTTATCGGAGCCTTCTTCGGCACCACCGAGGCTCGGAATGCGTGAGTCGCCTTTAAGTAAAACGGTTTGCTCATGAATTTCAGTCACGAGCACAGAGGCATTCTGGAATTGAGAAGAGTTACTCCCTTCATCGGTGGAGGAGTCTTGAGGCTCGGAGGATCCTTGCACCCAAAGTGGTGACCTGTAGGTGCATTCGGCTGTTAAAGGCAAGGAGGACATGTCAAAGTGATTTGCGAGCAGATGCTGTTGAAAGAATTTCTCCTCGTCCTTGGAGAAATTATGGAGAATGTGATCGTCCAGGGGCGGTAACTCCACCCCATATATGTGTTCTCCAGAGGGGCTCAAAGCTGTGAGGTCCATGGAGGAGCCGGGGAGTAGTTCGGATGATATCAAAGCACGTCCAGTCTCCGCCGGTTGCTGCGGGTCACCTGGTATCTCGAACCTCTGCGATGGTGTGTTGTTCCTGGTACATTCCTTGTTTGGTCGCCGTGTGTCACTGTTACCCTTGCGCGTTTGCGCGCGGCGACTAAAAACACATTTTAATCTCGCCCGAATACATCGCTCACATTGCTGGCCCGCGGTCCGTGATTGTTCTGGTGTGGAGATGACGCAGGCTAATTTTTTTCGCCCGGCAACGATCGCAAGAGGCTCTGAAAGACTCTTGTATCTGAGGAAGTTGGGATGCCATGATTGTGGGCAGGATCTGCTTATCTCTGGGCAGTCCTACACTACTAGTTAGGCATGGTGGGCTTATGTATCGATTCCCCCGAGGCTCTTTAGTACCATCGGACAGGGATCTGATAACCCAGACAGGGTCCACGAGGCTCCAATTGGCTACGTGCCAGTGGCGTAGTCACCCTTTAAAGTGGGACACGGGGATATCCAATGTTATTGGGCAGTCTTCTTAAGCGTGCCTCTGTTTTTGGATCTTTTATCTTTTTGGCTGCTCTGAAATCCTCGGTCGTGCTGGCGGAGGCCATTTGCATCAGTTTAGCTCATCGCACGATACTTCAATCTGTCGTATGTGGATTACATTCACTGAGAATAAGAGGGTCAAACATATCGATTTTACTTTAAACTAACAGGAAGACTACGGGAAGGCAGCAACACCTTATGATATTCCTGAGTCAACTGTATGCCATTTGTCCAGCGATATACGGTATATGTGCTAATGGCTGTCCAGGTCGTTACTTGGTTGTTTCGTGACAACGAGGATATTATCAACTGCTCGGAACAAATGAGCCCACCCAAATAACCCCCCCAAGGCTCAACCCTTCATATAAATACGACAAACCGCGGTACCCCTCAAGTCCTAAGTGCCAGGCACCTGGTGAAGGGGTACGTGGGCGAGTGAGCATGGCCGGAATCAGTGGGCCGGCGACACCATTTCCAGCGTCATCAGGGAGCTCGGGTCTAAAAAAGTAGAAATTCACAGCAGGAACTGCGGGAATATCTTGGGTCACCCAAGACATCAGATGCCCCTTACCCCCTCTCGTCCGTGTTTATGCAGGGTTGTGTAATGGCTGAGCTACGCACTACGCTACCTAATAAAGAACTGGAATTAGTGTACAAATCAGTACTTTTGTTCTACCAATCATTCTAGTATGATTACCAGCGTGCAAAATGTGAGAATCCGGAGATTATCAACCAGTGGTTCAGTCTAGTTCAGAATACTATAGCAAAGTATGGTATACTGAACAGGATATCTATAATTTTGATGAAACTGGCTTCCAGATGGGTGTGGCAAGTACTGCAATGGTTATTACAACGTCATCGAGCAAGCTGTGTACAGGCTATACAGCCAGGGAATTGCGAATGGGTAACTGCTATTGAATGTATCAATGCTTCTGGATCACCTCCTCTACCACCTATGATTATCTTTGCTGGCAAGTTTCATCAATCTCAATGGTATCAAGATATCGACCCTGATTGGGTGATTGGGACTAAGCAAGGATGGATGGACCAATAATGAGCTTGGATTACTATGGTTGAAAAAGATCTTTGAGAACTTGAAGCATACTGCAACATGCAGGAAGATATCGACTTCTGATTTTTAATAGCTATACTAACTATAGATTTATGCAGTTCAATCTTTTCTACAAGAATCATCAAACTAACCCTCTTTATATGCCTTCTCATTCATCCCATAAACTTCAGCCACTGGATGTTAGCTGCCTCGCACCTCTAAAAGGCGCGTATGGTATTGGGATAACTGATCTTATTCAAAAGGGCATCAACCATATTGCTAAGGAGAACTTTCTGAGTTTATATAAAGAAGCACGCAAAGCAGCACTATCGTCTACCAATATCCGCAGTAGATTTGAAGCATCTGGCTTGGTTCCCTTAGGTTGTCGGCGGGTGCTGAATACACTTACTATCAAGAATATCACCCCTCTATCTACTTCTCATGGGCCTTCGGATCAGGTATGGACTGCGAAGACCCCTTATACTACTGTCGAGGTGCAAAAGCAGATGCAGCATATAATGTAGCTTATTCATCGCAACTCAGAGAGCCCGCCAAATGAAGCAATTCGTCAGCTGGCTAAAGTAACTGAATCAACTATGCATAAGGTCCTTCTCCTAGATCAGGAGGTAAAGGAACTTCGGGCAGTCAATGAAAAGCAAAAGCAAAAGCGTGAAGCGCCTAGGTCTTATATTGCTACCGGAGGGATTCTGACAGAGGCTGAAGATCAGCAACTTGCTAAAGAAGCTATATAGATGATACTAGAGCCCGTCCCCAAGAAAAAGCGCGCACCACCACGATGCAGTAATTGCCATCAAATTGGGCATACTCGAACTAGCTGCCCTAGTAGATAATCAAATTCCTTTATATATAAAAATGGCTTCGTTTTGATAATAGAGTAGTAAGATATCTCCTATTTTTTCGACTCGGCCAAAATGGCGTTTTCACTGGCCCGCTCGGTGTCCGATTCCCATTTATTGTGCACTCACCCAAGCTCACCTGAGGTCGCCCGACCGTAAAGCGGCTCACCCACTAGCTCACCTAGGCGGCAGCCACCCGACTTCTGGCCGCGTTTAAGCCACACGCCGGGAGGTTAGTAGTTGGGTGGGTGACCACCAGCGAATCCCGCCTGTTGTATGTTTTTCTTTTTACTTTTTTCCCTTCTCTTTTTTGCTTTACCTTTGGTATTGAATTGTGGAACCATGCAAATTTGATAACATGGGCTTCACATCCAATTTCATCGACCTTGTTAATTCCGTTATGTCCGGTGGTCCGTGTGGAGAATCGTCAGCAGCTCGCATATCGCATTCCGAAACCCTAATAAATCTACGAAGTAGCAGTAAATAGCTGGAAATCCAGTGTTTGGATATCATCAAACCATTGCATATAGATCATGTGGAGTTGGATAGACGTTGTTTCCGGCGGAGTTAGCGGACATATATCATTAAAACCTCGTACATGATATCACTGCGCCTGTGCCTATGCCTGCCTCAAGGCCATATATATATTAGCCATACACCAGTAGTTTGTCATTTCAACCTATACAACCGTTCATCCAAGAAGAACCCATCATTTCGTCATGTCTTCCCAACCACATCTCACTCGCTACCGACAGCTCGCCCCCTCGGCGTCCGTCAGAGTCTCTCCGCTATGTCTAGGTGCCATGACCTTCGGCACGGCAGGAAAAGAGCGATACGGAGAATGCAGCAAGGACGCCGCGTTTGAGATCCTGGACTATTTCGTCAGTCAGGGCGGGAACTTCATCGATACCGCTAACGCATACCGAGAAGAGCAATCCGAGATCTGGCTGGGTGAATGGCTTGCCGCCAGGCAAAACAGGGATCAGATGGTCATTGCAACCAAATACACCACGGGGTGGCAAGGTCATCACAAGGACAAGATCCAAGCCAACTATGGTGGGAACGGAACCAAGTCAATGCGTGTCTCGCTCGAGGCGTCGCTGCGCAAACTTCAGACAACCTATATCGACTTGTTCTACGTGCACTGGTGGGACTACACAGTTTCGATCCCGGAGTTGATGCACAGCCTGAATGATCTTGTTGTCTCGGGGAAGGTCCTGTACCTGGGTATCTCTGATACCCCCGCCTGGGTGGTCGCGAAAGCCAACCAGTACGCTCGCGACCATGGCCTGCGGCAATTCACCGTGTATCAGGGGATGTGGAATGCAGCGATGCGTGATTTTGAACGAGAGATCATACCCATGTGCCGCGATGAAGGAATGGGCCTATGTCCGTATGGAGTGCTGAATCAAGGTCGCTTCCAAACTGAGGAGGGATATAAAGAACGCGAGAAGAGGAACGACGGTCGGAATTTCATCCCTTTGTCTGAGCACGATAAGAAAGTTTCCCGTGTGATTGAAAATGTCGCCAATGCGAAAGGCGTAGAGCTTCTGCAAGTCGCTCTGGCTTATGTTCTTCAGAAGACACCCTATGTGTTTCCCATCGTCGGTGCTAGGAAAGTAGAGCATATCAAGGGAGTGATGCCGGGGGTTGGAATTACGTTGACAACTGAGGAGATTGAGAAGATCGAATCGGCGTATACGTTTGACCCAGGATTCCCGCATACTTTCCTCAGCGGAACGCTATTTGGGGATGGCGCCCCTCAAGGTGCATATAGCCCAGGAGATGTGTGGTTGACCAAGCCGTTGGGAACCTTTGACTGGGTAGGATATCCGGAGGCAATTGCGCCAGTTGAGAGGAATTAACGGTCGACTCCTCAGTTGCCTTGCACTATAGTGCGCATCTAGATATGTCCAATGGTCACTGTCATTGCTTGACTACTTTTATCAAGTCAAAATAATTTTGGTACATTGCAATTATCTGTAATTGCACCAAAAGCAACTATATTTACCCAGGTAACATAATTAGTATATTCTGGATCCCTACTGCTTAATCAGACGTATAGAGATGTTTGTGCAATGTCAAAGATTACGGCCAAGAGCAACGAAACGTTCTAGATCGTTAGTGACATAAATCAATAGATCAAGTCTCTGGACGGTCAAATTGCCATGGCCAGATAAATACTCAACCCAGTTCTACAGCATCAACACGTGCTTTAGATTCGTACTTGGACAGCGTCAGTCAAAACGAGCATTTACAACCGTGTTTGTCTAGATGTGACTCCACCGGTGGATCACAAAAATGCGGCGATTCCGCCCGCCATGTGGGAAAGGTAACGTAGTATCCATCGGTATAGACATGCATTAAGCTTCGGCGCTTGTAGCCAACCATCATTGATTCAGGAGTATAGGCGACGTACAGCCGCCACGCCAATTGAAGAGCCTCGGCAACACAACATCGAGTATTTGATTGACTCGACCGAGCTCATAGGCCCTGGGCCATGACTTGCATGATCAATACTAGTAGTTGTCTTGATACGTTGGAGCTATGTCCGCATCCATCTCTGTAAGGGGTTCAAGCGGAGCTGCATTGCTCATGGCCAGTTGCATGTATGTACGCCAAGCCCATATACCTGTATTGTCCGCAGCGGAGAACGTCATCCTTAGTGACGCGGCAGTCGCACATACATCGGAAAACAGCAGTATGTTGTGAATTGGCATCTACAACACATGAAATAGATTCGCGGCCCGATGAATACCTGATGTCGGAGAGGTATCCCGTAGTAGTACATCTAGAACAGGATCGATGAAGTGTAACAGGAAATGATATCCTGGGTCGTGCGACATCGGAAGTGGTATCCGGCTAGTGGTATACACGTCGGGACGGCAGTCCGGCAGAGACTACGCCAAAGATAATCTGATCGTCGACACCTGAATTAGCAGGTGACTGACAGGCATGGCACGTTACAACTGCCAAGGTAGGAGACTCCGATAGATTAAGGCCTTTTTTAGCCTAAGGTGTCTACACAAGAGTACCATACCGCCTGTTAGTCATATTAGGTAATAAATCCAATCAACAGATGGCGCAATTGAAGTTCCCTAAAAAGCCCTGAAAAGGGCGGTGCGTACACAGGTCCGTAACTGTCACTTCAATACCAGCTCGCTTTTCACACCCATACACTCCACCAACTAAGCCGCAAACGTTGGAAGACAAAGTATCTAACCAGGCGAGGGAGTTGGTAGTTGAGTAAACTATCGGTACAAGCCGAAATGTTCTTCGAGAGGCGTACAGAGTCGATTATCCAACCAATTAGCGGGGCGCGTCCGGCCACTATGCCAACCCGATCTGATCAGGGGAGAGAAAACTCTGAGGCGCTAGTGACACAGGAAATATGGAAACGGAGCGCCCTACGCTAACCGTCGAAGAAGGCCGGGAATAGTCCGTGGAAACGGAGGAAGGCGTCGACAACAAGGTTTCGCTTTCCAGCGGAAAGCGCCGACGGATCAACCATGTGTCGCCCTCGGGAATTTTATGTCGCTTACTTGCAAGGAACCTTTAACGACGAGCGGCGATCTCGAGGCAATGGCCCCTGGAGATACATCCGCATCTGAGATAGCAGGTGTACTCCGTATGGTATTAGTACACAATAAATACCGCAATTGTGACTACGTGTTCAAGCCCTGCAGATTAATCCCTCAATTTGACGCTGTCTACAGAGTCCAGGCTGGAGGTGATTTCGCTTTCCGCATCAGTCCCGCATAGAGTACGCAGGGCATTGGGTCGGGATTGGCGTAAGATTCCGACAATATGAGATTACGGAGTAGATCCCCATATGTAAACCGGGAATCAACCCAGTTGGAAGTGGATTTATACCTGCCAAGCCTGCTCGAAACCAACAATTACGCGCCGCTCGAGTCGGCGCTCGTGTAGGGAGGGGCGCAATGGTCTATACCGACAATTATAGCCAAGATCCATACAAGGGGTATAGAATGATAGGAGGAGGCCCTCGCAGAAACCAATAGGGTCGCTGAAACAAACCATTCCCCTCCTATGGTGTGAGTAGTAAATCTCCGGGTATACTTAATTAACATCGAGGTACTCATTGCGGGGAGAACTGGGTCTGTCGGAGAGCTTGAGATAGTTGCCGTATAGGCATCCGACCTCTCATGGCATGATCGAGTCGGCCATCCGCCAGCATACTCGTGCCGAAACTCTCACATCGGGGGGCCGACCAACAGACATGGCGAAACAAGACATGATGTCGCCTTAGATCTTCAGATTGATCATCAATCCAAGCGCATAAGGTCCCTTAGTCATGGATGAGGACTTCCAATGGGCGGTGGCGGTGGTGAAACTGTTAGGTAATACGTATGGCGCAAGCGGTAGCCATTCGTCAGAAAACGTGCTTTTCCCCTGTTGACCACCAACGCACAGGGCACACTCCCTGACAGCAAGGTTGCGTCTAGAACGATATCGAGTGTTGTGATGTGTTGCACATCAACTGATCCTCGTCAATCTCGTCTTTCTTCTTCAGACCGCTATCGAACTACGAATTGACCACAATTCAATCCCCCCCCATTATCTCTCATCTTATGATTCACCAGCCAAGAGGCATTGCGCAAAACCACCAGCAAGCGATGATGCAATGCCCCGCAAACGCTCAATTCCTGCAGTGCGGGGGGAAATGAACAAGAAATTCGGACCAACGAGGGGCAGCTGAGCGTCCAGGAATTTTCCGAAATTGTGCCTTCTACCGCCGATCCTGTAGGGCACAATATGCTAAGGCTTGCCCAGATATGGGCAATCACAAGGAGACCCGCGCTCTGACCACTACGCAGTATCAAACAAAATCACCAATCTCGGGAAGAAGTCCAAGGTCCTCCTGGGACCTGAGGATATCCCCCGGAAACTGATATTTTTACCCGTGGAAAGAGAAGGGGTATGAACTTTCAAGATGAGTCTTACTGTGTAGAAAGATTTTTTGTCTTTTTTCTCCCGCGAGTAGTGGGGCCGGACCATGTTGCAACCGCATGAGCCTACCTAATTTAAACAGAATAAAATAAAAAATAAAAAATGTTGTATAGAAAAATTTTTTTTTTTTCTGGCCGGTCCCTTTTCCGAGCGGCGTGCTTCCGGTTCGGTGGGTTTTAGTGTCAGCTTCCAGGTGGTACTGTGCCCCTCCATTTTGCAAAAAACGGAAAAGCGGCATCACAGTTCCAGAGGATCTCCCACTAGCGCCGTAACCGCTTGCCGTATTGTACGGTATACCCGTGTACCGGTGCCGGTCACCGGTTGTATGAGCAAGACTTACGCCAGACCGCCTAAGCGCGCCGGGCCTTCAGATCTTTTCATGACGCCACGTGATGGTTCCATGACGGCAGCTGACCTGCCAAAAAGGGCCAAAATCGCGCCGCCCTGGGAATCAGGCGCAACGGGTAACCGGACCGCCTGCTGACTCAATCGTATGTTTGTTTCGCTGGATGTTGTGGTGGCTGATGATTTGTTCATGGACCCCAAATTACTATCTTGTCGTAGCCTGTCTCTCTTTGTTCAATTGCTGTTGCTGGAAGTTACTGGACAGTGGATCCAGAACTCGATCTATATGGTGGTTGTCGTGGCACTGGTGTCTTACAATCTTCTAAGTATGGAACAAGCCAATGAGCTTTTGTAATGATGAACTTGTCGTCCACTGCCTAGAACATGAGTCAGCATGGCGAGCCTTGGTTGCAAGACTTGGAGACTACGAGACATGACAGCATTGTCTACCAGTTTGGCATTGGTTAATTCGGTACACCTTCAAGAATGGTCAGGAGGTTTTATCGGCCGAACCCCACCTGCCAAAGCGCTTCGTGTACAGTCGAGGTATGGGGTAGGGATGCCGAATTGCGCATGCTTTCTGGGAATCACATCCAAGTCCGGTAGGGTTTGACGGTCCCGGGGATGAACAACTAGAGATCCCAAATCTTCAGGTGAGTCACTGCGCACGGGCTTTGAGGGACGCATCCTGCAGCGTCATTTGTTGAACATCTTTATATCCTTTGTACATTAGTGTAGTCCTTGTCATTCCTTTACGGTATGTTGTCAAATGATGTGAGCGCAAAGAGGCAAAAGCTGCAAGTGCTTGCGACATACTACCCTGCCGGAGGAGACTAGACTCCGCGGAACAAACCCTCAGTCGGCCTCACATGCTCATAGTCTTTGTTGTTGGTGTCGGGGTCTTGCTCCGGCTCACTTTCTTCGAGGGAAAATGAGAGCAGTGTAATCGGACTAGTAGTCAGATCATTGATCCCCGATCTTGCGTAACTATTCTTCATGAGATTGCGTGATCTGTTTCTAGAATCTGGGGATTGAAGACAGCCGAGTATGTCCAGTGGACATTCTAAAATCCACCTTATTCTAGAATAAGGTATATGGTTAAGACTGATGTAATTTCAAACGCAAGCTGCCAATAAGGGACTACCTTGTGGACAACCGCAATACTGCTGAAATTCGACGTTTGATACCCTCCCAGGGAAATTTCTACGCCATGAGCAAGCGAAGGCCCTTCCATCTGCTATTTTTGCACCGAGGGTACTCCGTCCGCCGTATTGAAAAGTATGGTAACCGTATGGTAAGATCCACAATGACGCTTTTCTGCCGTGCCCCACTTGGACCCCATCGAAGTGACGGAGCTTTAGGGTGGCCAGACCAGAAATAATTGGTACCTTGTAATGGTGTGGGAACCTCCTAGAATCAACTAAAAAAAAAAAAAAAGAAAAAGAAAAAAATTTCAATTTTTAGTAAAAAAGGAAACAATGGTATATATGGAAGAAGTTTGGTACTAACAAGAAAAGCTTGTCCGAAGTCATTCAAAGCCAGCAGTTTGCCCACTTTCTACTTTCTGATTCTTCTCATCTGGAACTGTACCTGAACAACATCAACACTTTGTTCTTATCCAACCTTCACTCGGAACAGGAACCCGATTTCATATCATAGTACTAGAACCTCATCATCGATTCACCGGACCCCGAGTCTAGCATTCCTCCATATCCCCGTCATTCTGGCTTCATAAACTGCCGAAGGATTATGTTCTGGGTTGTCAGCCTCACATCTCAACTTATACAACACCGCACTGTATCCTGAACCTAGACGGGCATACTGAAGTGTTAGTCGAATACACCTCGCTATTACTGTTTCCAATTGCACAATAGTCACCTACCGCTCCCAAGACTATATAGCTCTCTTACTAGAGAAGCCACCCTTCTATCCTCCTCGTTATTTGCATCTATTTGGTCGGCACCGAATCTCTAGAAGTGCACATCAATCATCATGCCCGGCCGCCTCCTTTCCAGCCTTGTTCGCCCCCACGTGCACCACCACACCTCCTTCTCGTCGCATTCCACCTCTTCCTCATCTACCTCTATTAATGAGATCCCCACCAACACCGTGGCCCACAAGAAGCCTTCTGCAAATGTGCTGGAACGAGCACGCTCTCCAGAGCGCCGTTTGTCTTTCGCGGTCGATCATCTAATCCACCCGCACAGGGATCACAGCAAGGAGAAGCGCCGCAATCATGGGCGTTCATCCGGTTCAAAGGAGCGTCCAGGCGATTATGGCGTTAGTGCTACTGCCAAGTTGGACGTTGTCGTTGAATCACCACCACTTGTCTGTTATGGCAGCCCAGCTAACTCGACCGGTGCGCTATTCTCCGGCCGTTTGAAGATCACTGTCTCGGAAATGGTTGAAGCCATTACGCTCGATAAGTTCGACATGAGATTGATGACCAGAATGACAACGAAGAAACCAGTCTCGAGAGAATGTCCGAACTGCGCCTCTAGAACCGAGGAGTTAAACCACTGGAACTTCTTGACAGAGCCGCTCCACTTGAAGCCTGGCGACCACGAATTCCCTTTCAGCTACCTCTTCCCCGGTCATTTGCCCGCTTCCTGCAATGGATCTCTGGGAAAGATCGAGTACTACCTCTCTGCCCATGGGCAAAACATTACCGGCGAAGAATACAACTTCCAGATGCCTTTGCATATCAGGCGCGCTATCCTACCTGGAAACGACAAATCCTCAATCCGTATCTTCCCTCCAACTAACCTGACGGGCCGCATTGTGCTTCCCTCGGTCGTTCATCCCATTGGTACGTTCCCCGTCCAGATGACTCTGAGCGGAGTCGTGGACAAGGGCGAGGAGACCCAAACCCGCTGGCGCTTGCGCAAGATGATGTGGCGTATCGAAGAACACCAGAAGATCGTTTCCACCGCCTGTGGTAAACATGCGCACAAGATTGGTGGTGAGGGCAAGGGCGTCCTCCACCAGGAAACTCGAATCATCGGACATAACGAAGAGAAGGAGGGCTGGAAGACCGACTTCGATACTGCAGGAGGCGAGATTAGCATGCAGTTCGAGGCAAGCATCAACCCCACCTGCAACCCTGTGTGCGATCTTGAGGCCTCCGGTGGACTGGAAGCCAAGCACAACCTCGTTATCGAGTTGATCGTCGCCGAGGAATTCTGCCCTAACCGCAACACCAGACTCATCACGCCTACGGGCGCAGCGCGTGTGCTCCGCATGCAGTTCCACTTGCATGTCACTGAACGCAGCGGTCTCGGCATCAGCTGGGACGAGGAAATGCCTCCGATGTATGAGGATGTTCCTGCTAGCCCCCCCGGCTACACAAAGCCCGATGCCAGCAGTGTCATGGAAGACTACCACGGCTCTCCGCTCCCGCTGCCAGAGTACGAAGAATTGGAACGCATGGACTCGCTCCGGCTGGACAGCGACTCTACTCACTCGTCGGCTCGCTCAATTCTCTCAACACGCGGACGATCTCGATTCACCACTGACGATCTCATCGCCGAACCTGTGACACCACAAAGCCGCAATCGAGCCCCGTCCGCCGATTCGCGAGCCTCTCGGGCATCTGAGTAGACCAGCTCTTCTGCTCCTTTCTTTCACTCACGACGTTACGATTCCTCACGACCGAATGACCTCAACCTGAACTCAGAGAAACCAATACCACATTTCTTTCAACATCACCATGAACAACGGACGCTTAATCAACATTGTTGTTTTGTTTTTCTTAGAGACCATATTTGGGGAAATACCAGGGCTGAAAAAAAAGTTTTTCTTTTGTATCTTTTTTTTTTTTTTGTTTGTTTCTTTACAAGCTGGACGAAGATATCCTTTTCCATGATACCCGTCATCTGCTGAGGGTTTTGACCTTGTTAATCGTTTTTATACTATACCGATGGATACCTTTCCTTTTTCTCAAGATGATACACATACCCTATGGTTAACTAATAATTACAATAAACCAATACAATAATCTAAACTCCATTCCAATCTTCCTCACCCCTTACCTCATACATAGACTGATACATATAAATAACAAGGTGAGTCAAATTAAGCTTAGCGACATCCCCAAAAGCAAAACCACCAACCAGCCCATCCACGAATCCCATCCCAGGATACCATGGATGGGACCACCACCACTCCCCAAACACCGGTACTCAATTACCATGCCAAAAAAAAAAAAAAAAAAAAAAAAAAAAAAAAAAAAAAAAAAAAAAACTAACCAAATCCACATATTCACCAACCATGGCCATACTGCAGGGCATACGCGTAATCAGATAAAAAAAAATACTACATATTTCTGAGGTGGTACTGTAGCACCCATCCCGCGCCGCTTTCGTCATGTCCATTGTTTGGGCATCGGGCCGTTTGCGGCCTGGAAGCTTACTCGGATTAACTTCCTTTGTTTTGGTTTCAGATTCTTGTTTTTACTACATACGTCAATGTGCAAATATGATAGATTGGTTTGGGAGGGTTCGGGTTTTTGTTTTGTCGTGGGCGTTTGGTCTAGGGGATTTCATGGTAGCTGGGTTTGGGGGCTTGGTATAAGTGGTCTGGGGTCATGAGTTGGTGTAATTCTTTTTTTACTTGGGGGTTTGCTGTGTTTAGTTTGTATTTGGGTGGTTTAGATGTTGGGTCTGGTAAATTGGATGGGGTGTTCTGTTGGAAGAGTTGGTATGGTGATTTGGCTAAAGGATGGATAGGGTCGAGTGGGGATTTGTGTGTTTGGAGGTGATAGACTCTGAGGGCCTACGAACCATGCTTTACAGTTATGATCAGATGTAGAAATACTCCGAAGAAAATCATGTTGAGTAAGAAATCTAACATATGTGAGGCAGAAGAATGCTATGTACAGACAATACAGTTCCAGACTGTGTCAAACCTCGCGCTTTTACAACTAAAACAAATAAATAACACAAATAAAACAACATCTGTAAAAACAAATCATGAATCGAATATAGGCCCGAAAGCAGGAATGCCCCCGGACTCGAGCTCGTATACCACTTTCTTCGTCACGAAAGGATTGCTGATCACGCATACAGCTTCCGCATCGAAGTCCTTATAGAGCTTGCGAATGATTGGCACCATATCGATACGACCAGACTCCCTGGTGTTGATGATATATGGGTCGCTATCCATTTTGGAGACCAAGTCGAGTACTCCTTGCCCATATGTCTTCAGGGGAGTGCGAGTCTGCCATACAACACGGAGCTCGGGTCGGTTGTCATCGCCCAGGAATGAAAGGCACGGCCCGATGCCGGATCCGGTCGTGACCACAACCACTCGCTTGAATACCCTCATTGCGTACGCAAACCCATAGATCAGGACGCCTCGCTTCCAGAGGTGGGTGGGCTGATCGTTGATACAGGCTGCGGTCCAGTCCCCGGCTTTGGAAACGAGGCTTGAGAATGTCTTGCCCTCGGGGTCTGGGAAGGTGGCAAAGCCATGCCAGTCGCGCAGTGGATGCCTTGCCAGCTGGATGCCCTTGCCAAATGTAGTGGTGTGGTTGAAGTGAAGTCTCACTGCATGGTTTGAGAGGTATTCAGGCTGGACTGGGACCTTCCGCAACAGTAGCCACGGGTGGATGATGGCAGCGACGGTCACCATCAAGAACCAAAAGGCTGGAAGCTCGATAAGAAAACGACCAAATGATTGATGGGCAGCCCGGCTAAAATCATTGACAAAGAGCATGAGCAGCACCACGAAGAGTGCCACCACCAACCATCCAGAGAAACGATGTGTCAATTCGAAGTAGTCATGTTTCTTGAACCGAAACCCAGGGTAAGCAACGACGATGATGGCGAGAAGTAAGACTAGAATCACATAGGCCACGACGACCGGTGCTACGGAGATCGTGGACTTGCCACTCGATGGAGACCAGTACTCCTTCGACATCAAGCCCACGAAGCCCGCATACCAAATAAAGGAGGCCACGCCGCACCCGCTGTGGACTCCGCCGTAGTGGTAGACTTTTGCTGCAATACGGCGGAGTCTCAAGGGAGCGGATCGGGGGATGGAGCATACAATGAGGAAGATGGCGTTTACCACCAGAGGTTGGCGTGCGAGACCGCATGCGAGTAAGTTGGCAGCTGTTGCGTTCACCAGTGCCAGTAGTTTGCGATCTGCTGTCATCACATAGATAAAGACAGCCACATTGGCACAGAAGACCAATGTAAAGAGACGGCGGTAGATATTGAGGAGGATAAAGCGAGATGAGGAGAAGGGCTTCTTCTTAGGGACCTGGGCTTCCAGGTCAAAGCTATCAGGGCTCTGTGTCAGAGCACGATCCGCCTTTTCTGAGATAGACTTTGACATGGTCGTCTCGACGTCCACCAGGGTGCTTCTGGGGCTCGTCGAAGCCGACGCACATTTGGCCGGCGGGGGGATGGAAATGACGCTCTTTTCGGAGAGCGACATGGTGGTGAAAGTCAAGTAGGAAAGAGGGATGAATGGATCAATAGATCAATGAATCAATGAATCAATGAATCAATGGGAACAATGGATGAAACAGGGATCTAAGGTCAGAACGGAGGGTGCCTGATAGGTGAAGAAGGGACAAGAAGTACCAAGTAAGGTACCAACAGAAAAACACAATGCATTCACTCTTCGGTATGAATCCGATTGTTGTGAAGCTCTCTCATGCAGGACATCTGCAGCCTTTTGAGTTGGGCACATGATGGCGCTCCCCCTCCTCAACTTGCGTCGTCTTTTTTCTTGCTCTCTTGCCTAATGCGTGACCGTACATTAGACAAAGGCGACCATCACTTGATAGTCTCATTCCTTCACTTGACTACAACTATGTCCTTCCCCACCTGATGACCCTTCATTCAGCTTCACCCTTCACTTACCACCTTCGCTTCATTCTCTCCAACTTAGTGGGTATCAATGACGCGATGGTTGGGATCATGTCCCACTATGACTCGATGATCTACTACCAATGAGCAACCATAGACGACATCATGACCTTTCACTTTCCGCTACCCCTCCGGGCTTTGAACTATCCAAGGGCCAATGAAGTTATCCCAAGGGCAGTTCGCACAGCCCGTCTCCATCAAACTATGGTTCCGGACCTAGGGATGTACTTCTAGACGAATCGTCTAGTGCTGGTTCAGCCGACGGGTCTAGAGATGTGGAATCCCCGATGCAACCCGTCCACTTTTTTCGTGGATCCCGATTGTCCGACTCTAGCATCAAGCTAGTGCCTCGTGCTTCTGCCTTAGGTCAGTGGAGTATCTGGACTCATGTGGCAAGTGCATTGTCCATGCCTATGCCGATCTATTGAAGGAACCCTGATCCGATGGAGTCAAAAGGCGGGATCTAGAGGATCGCTTGACAGGTCCAGAGGTAGATCCAAGCACATGCAAGACGCACGGATTCCTTCCTTTCTTGCTGAACAATGCGTTAGACCTTACGGTGAGACCCATTAGTCTCGAACTAGTGTAGGCAGAGATAATGTAACGGTGTCGTACCAGGAATTACCAGGGTATGGATAGCACGATCCACTTCCCTGTCTGCTGGATGGGCGGGGGTCCAGCAGGCGTTTACCACCAATCTACGGCAGAAGATCCATTGAGAATGCCATTCATGCATGGATTTCCCGATTTCGGGTCGTGGACGTCAGCCTGGCATGGGTCTTTAGTGAGTGGGGACATGCAACACGGATCGCGCATTGGCATCAGACCATGAGGGGCATTCCTCGGTTCCAAAGTAGACTTGGGCTGCATCGACTTAAGACGATAGTGCACTTCGCTAGTCGGGGGTGTTCGCATTGTGGCTCAGCTGTGGGAAGTGCCGTGAAGACTACTACGCGATGACAGGACGATAGACCAATGGGGGAGGATAACGGAGGTCTGGTAAGATCGCGTCGGGCTGAAGCCGCCCAATATGGTGATTAAGTTATGGAGACAGGTGATCATGGAACCTAGTTCGTCTGCATGGCGGATGCTGTTCGCTTGTTCATTGCTTTTTTCTCGTCGGCCATGAAGAGGACCCACCGGCCGAGATCTGAATCATGGCGTTCCGAACGTTCATTCGACAGACGAGGCGCATAGTGCCAGTGGAGCGGGAAGAAGATCAGCGCCTCGATCTGAGCGGAATCTTTAGCTTAGTGAAGTGACGATGTGTCGGGTTTTGCGCCACGCCCTAAATGAAATTCCAAATCATGGTCATTCTCAGCCCCATCCCCGGAAATTGGAATTCCTCCATGCACCAGGAGGATTTGGAGGGGATTTTTTTTCCCTCCTTTGTTTCGTGTCTTTTCATTTGGTGAAGTCTCCAGTATGACAAAAACATCGGTTCAAGCGTGATATGGCCATCCACATATTTATTACCCAGGATGCCCTCTGTCTTTGGGCTTCCTACTTTCGTCGATCCTCAACTTTCCTTTCTGATTTCCATGATTAACACACTGATTATTACTCTAAACACCCCCTTCACTCCCGATTACTAAACCATGGGTCTCTGGGAGTCTTCACTGGCGCCGCCCCAGTTGGGGGACAACCGCTCCTACACCGACTTATTGACCTTTGCTTTCGGCGGCCCTCGTCCATACAATGAACAACGGCCGTTATTTATTGATGCTGAACACCCTTCCTGTTCCCTCAATGCGCTCCAGTTCCGGTTATTGGTGCGAACCCTTATCGCTGGGTTAAAGGCTCATAATGTGCAAAAGGGTGATTGCGTTCTGGTCCACATGGGAAATAGCGTAAGTCATGCGACGTTCGTAAATCGTACCGTCTTCCTACACCGAGTCTTTATCCCCACTACATCCGATTCCATGGAACCCTTATTTTTTTTATTGTTTATTTTTTTATTTTTATTTTTTTTTTTTCCTCTTTCCCCTCTATTTTAATTTTACCCACTGCCCCTCACGAATACTGACTCACGTTATCCCGTAGATCCTATACCCCGCCCTTTTTTACAGTATTATCGGTGCTGGCGGTGTGTTCATGGGCTCGAATTCCCGCAGTCAGCCCCAAGAATTAGACCACATCCTTGAATTGGGCAATCCCAAGTTGATCATTACGACGCGCGATGCTCTGCCTACAGTCCTCGACGTCTCGGCCGAGCGAGGCATGCTTCCTAGTCAAGTGTGCTTAGTGGATGAGGCCGCTACCAGCCATGTAGCCCAATTGTTGTTGTCGGGTCCTCTGACCTACGCTGCAGCCATTTCCCCGTATCTCCCACGCGGTGGAGACAACTATTACCTGAACTTCGCACATCTCCTCGGTTACGGCGAGACCGGTTGGCTCTTTTTCCAAGATGAGGCCATCGCAAAGTCCACACCGGCAGCGATGTTCTCCACCAGTGGCACGGGAGGATTACCCAAAGCTGCCATCCTGTCTCACCACGCTATAGTATCTCATCACCTTAGCATTTATTACGATGTGCCCTACGAGGCCACCCGGCTGATGTCACTGCCTATGTTCCACCTTTTTGGTGCCCTCTGGACACACATCTTCCCGATTCGATATGGACAGCCACTGTTTATCTTACCTCGCTTTGATATTGCCCAGTATGTGGCGGCTGTATATCAATATCAGATCACAGAGGCGTATATGGTACCTGCGATGATTCATGCCTTCAATCGCTGTGCATTCCCAGTTGCAGACTACCTCCAGTCATTGCGATACGTTGGCGTAGCGGGGGCTCCGATTGACGGGGCCTCCATGCAGCAGTTCCAAGAACTGCTCCATGTCGATGCCAATGCATCCCAGCTTTGGGGTATGACCGAAGTGGGAGTCGTTTTCCAAAACCGTTACGGGGAACCTGGCAATAGCGCAAGTATCGGGCGGCTCGTCCCGGGATACGAGATACGACTGGTTGGACAAGACGGCACCCTGGTTCTGGACGATAATAAGCCAGGGGAGCTGTTTGTGCGAGGGAACGGCGTGCTTACTGGCTACAAAGGACGAGATGATGCCAAGGACGCGCAGGGGTGGTTCCGCACCGGTGATGTGGCTTATGTGAACAATGGGTTATATTACATTGTTGGCCGAACGAAGGAGTTAATTAAAGTTCGAGGGTGTGTTTTCCATTTTTTTTTTTTTTTTTTTTTTTTTTTTTTTTTTTTTTCCCCGTTTTTGGGCATCTTCCCCTACAGGCACTAGTGGCAGAAGCTAATACATTCGCAGTTGGCAAGTGGCTCCAGCAGAATTGGAGGCGGTACTCCTCAAGCATCCTGGCATCCAAGATGCAGCGGTGACGGGCGTTACTTCGAAAGACGGTAGCACCGAAGTGCCACGAGCTTTCGTGGTCCGCGCGAGACAGCCGGCCGGGATGCAGCTGACAGAGGAGGAAGTGTACACTTACTGTCGACGACAATTGGCCAGCTACAAGGCACTCGACGGGGGTGTGATCTTCGTGGAGGAGATTCCACGCACGGCGAGCGGGAAGATTCAACGGTTCAAATTGACGCAGATGAACACGTACCGCGATATAGTATCGTCGCTCTTAGCGCGGTTCAAAGGAACAAGTGGCCTCCAGACAGTTGGTCTCTTGCATCAGGGACGTATTGCCGTTTAGCCCAAAGCGGCAGGCCGGATGATGGCGTTTTGGTTTCTATTTTTCCTTTATTTTTTTTTATTTTTTTCTTTAGTTTTTTTATGTTACCCCCTCCGTTCATTCTTGTGGCGTTCGGCGGACTTGCGGGGCTTGAGAGAGCGTTCATGGGTGATTGTCTGATGCAGGTTATGATCATGTCCATTATTTTGTTTCTAAATCCATTTCCCATCCACATCACAGTTACACAGACACCGCTTGCGGCTTTAGTTCTCCGTCATGTCCATTAGCGTCCAGTAGTTCCGTACGATCAATTCCCTTCGGGGCAAGGAACCGCATGCCCAAACGAGCGAGACGCATCTCATTGTTTTTTTGTTGAGTTGGATACTTTTTGGTGTCCCTCAGATGCATATGATGTCGCCAGACCGTCCGTTCTTGCTAATTCCGTTTTATTTTTCTCCCTCGAGGCCAACAAGGTTACACCATGTCGCACCGCAAGTAAGCCAGAAAAATAAAGAACTCATTCTTCACAACTAAGTTTCCAACGTCTTCTTTGTATCGAATCTCTCTACCTTATTCTAACCATGTTTTCTTTGTCGAACATAATGAAAGCAACAACAACAACAAAAAAAAAAAAAAAAAAAAAAAAAAAAAAATCATGTATACAGGCTGAATGTATGTAGGATGTACTTATATAAGGACATACGTACATACATACATTAGTACAGATGTCGAGCAGAGTTCTACCGGGTGTGCAGTAGGCGATGGTTGCGAACCGGGGTGTTCCTTGTTGGGGGATCCTGTCGTTTGGTAAGGTCTGGATGGAAGGGTGGCATGGATGAAGATTACTACTGCTTCCATACTACCTATATGTCTTATCCTTGTGTATAATAAAGTCTCTCTCTCTCTCTCTCTCTCTCTATATATATTTATTTATTTATTTATCTACTGTAATGAATCATGATAAGCAGTGGCTGGTGGTTCAACTATTGGATAGCACTTGGCTCACTCGGGTAAAGTGTAGCTTTTCCGCTGACTACTCCTACCGAAGAAGATATGTAACCAACTACAATATACAATCAAGCCCAAGACACAAAAAAAAAAAAAAAAAAAAAAAAAAAAAAAAACAAAAAAAAAAAAAAAAAAAAAAAAAAAAAAAAAAAAACCCAAAAAAAAAAAAAAAAAAAAAAAAAAAAAAAATACCAACATCCATGTTCACAATGACACCATGTCCCACCAGGGACTAAGTAATAAAACCCAGGAATCATTTTTTGGTCTCCAAATTAATTATAGTTTCTAGTCGGTGAACTCGGTGTCCATGGCATACTTACTAGTACTACTTTTACTACCACAGTAACGACAACTGCGACTCCAACCGAAAGAAACTGGGAATGGATAAATGACGTCGGGTCCAAGCGCTTGCCCATGAACCTTGTCCGTGGGTTGCTGGGCGAACTTTCTCTTGCATCTAGACTATCCGTTCCTCCCTGGCTTTAAGTTGCTTCTTGGTCTGCGTTCCCGTGTGTGTGGATTCTTTTTTTTTTTTTTTTTTTTTTTTTTTTTTTTTTTTTTTTTTTTTTTTTTTTTTTTTTTTTTTTTTTTTTTTTTTTTTTTTTTTTTTTTTT